GCAAACCGGATTTCACGTCGGATCGTTCCGAGTTCGTTTTGGATAAGACGGCGAAGGTAATCTGTGACGTCGGTGAACCACGTGTAACCAAGGACGTCTTTTTTCAGAATATGGGCTGATATGGTCATGAAAAACTCGAAGCAAACCTCTATAATACGAAGACGACCGACGAAAGGTATACATATACAGTATAATAATCATTTTGGGGAAAGTTTCAGAAACGTGAAAAGTAAAAATGGCGTTTAATAGAAATTATACCTTTCAACTGTCTGATACGGCGATAGTTTAGTTCGTCATGTATAATTTAATTACTATTATTAGTCCGCTCATTATTTTAACATAACGCTAAATGTATGGACGGTCTTCGTGTACTTTAAGTGACCCAACTCATGAACAACGTACTTCATCTGCTTCACCTAACCCTTTTCCATGTACATAACCGTGTCGCCAAATTCGAAAGAGACTAGCAACAGAGACATATATACACTATTTGTATATGTCTCTGCTAGCAAATTCCAAAATCATTAAAGTCTATTGAAATAAATGAAAAGGTAGTTTCCAAAAAACTTTCATATTAGGTTTTAAAACCTTATATTGCAACAGGACTTACTTACCATAGGTGGATCCTGGGGGGCCCGGGCCCCCTGTTTTGTGGGGAAAATTTGGTTGGGAATCACTGAAGCATGACTGTAGCGGGCCCCCTCTTATGGCAGTCAGTGGGCCCCCCTTTATAAAAAGTTCTGGATCAGCCACTGCTTTTTTACATGTGAAAAATTAACCTCTTATAATTACAGGTAGGGTTGGATGCATATTGATCATATATACTTCAAGTAGGGGCTTACTCCTTCAAATGAATTTTGAAAAAGCTCATACATTAATTTATGTGTTATATTTATTTAAGTAATTAGTGTCAACAATATTTATTCAGATAAATCATCACATAACGATATAATACAATTGAACTAAATAAATATTTAGGATTCAAAAACAAGCAAATTTGCTTTTACAAACAATCTGTCTCCTATTACACAAATAAACAATACATAAATATAAATATTCTGACTGATCTATTATCTTCAAATCTTATATTACTTTTCAATAGTTAAAAAACAAGTTTATATTTTATTTATTTATTTATCTATTTAATGACAATTTGTCGCATCTTGGACTTACATGAATAATACAGTCTCTTGGTCCCAGGTTGTCTATTCCTTCATATTTTTTAACTCAAAGACTATAATAGCTAGTTTTATTTTAAAACAACAACATTATTTTATTAAAATGGTTATATTTTGTATTACGATACTATACGAATAAAAGTCTTTGATGTATTCTGACATCTGAAGAAACATTTTGTTTTATGGTGTATAACAGGAGTGATTTATATTGTACTGTGTGCAAATGATTACCTGTTCATATATATTTTTTTTCGTGCTAAAAACAAAGTTATACTGTCATTTTTTTTGTTGGTGTCTACATATCACATTAAAATCCAAGTTCTAGAGTTATGGGTTCATTTATTACGAGGCATTAATATTTGTTAACAATACCAAAATTTCGTGTGTATATAAATACGAAATAAATATGTGTATAATCTTTTCTACTTCTTTTTGGTCCTTTTCTGTCGTTTTCTGTTCTTTTCTATAAATCGTCGCTCTTTTCTGTAAATCGTTGGACTACCCCTTTCTGTAGCTATGTGGTATTACGAAATTTTCAAAGTGAAATATTATGACATCAAAACAGCAAAGATAATGAATAAAAGAGAGGTGTTATTTTGTACATATACCAAGGGGAAACTTCGGTAAAAGCAATATTATTTATTGTTTATTGCATTTAATAGAAAATGAGTAATATGTGGCAAATAAAGCCAAGATTTTTGCAGAAATCCACAGACTTTAATACAGTGATTTTCGTTATAAAATTTTAAACATAGGTTACTCACTTGTTTGTTCATGATGTGCTAGAGTTTATTGTTTACAAAAAGTCCTAAATAACCTTAACATTCCAAAATATCTTGTGATGAGTCAATAAAGATGAGCACACCATAGAAGGTGTACTTGAATTGGTCCATATTTATATTTGTTTTAACCAATATCTTATTTTATAAACTTGTTTGAAGGAAATCATTGCTAGCACTGCATGCAATAATCCTGTATCTATCAAGCACCCAATTGTCAAATATTAGAGTACAAGGGGAACGGCTGTGCATTTTCTATAAAATTTCCATGTTTAGCATTGAAACAACAAAAGGGTGCATAATCCTTAACCAAAACATCAAACCATTACCTAAGTTTAACCATGAGCTGGACCCTAGTACCTCTAAAGTACATGGTTCCTGAAAGCAATTACTGAGGCCAAACAGACTTGCAGGAATGAGAATAGTCAGGCCATCATGGTATGTAGTTACATCTTGGTGAGCTCAGTTGACTTATTTGGAGTCTTGCCTCAGATTTTTCATTAGAGATATTTTCCCCATGAAAAAATACATCTACTTAGTATCCCAAAGAAATTGAAAAGTTAGCAAACATGTCATATATTGAAAACTGTCCATCCTCTTGACCATGCAAAATTCATAAGGAAAAATATAGCCTATAATATAATTATTTTTTTCCATATCTCCAGATATATTTTAGAAGTGAATGTTTCTTTTTGCAATTTTATTGGGTTGTCAATTCTTTTAGCATTGACCAAATTTTTTTTAGCATTGATATATATATATTTGTTAAAATATACTTTTTCAATTTTTTGGTCTTTTGGAAAATGTTGTTTGTGCTGTATTTAGACCCCTCTACCAAGAAATTTGTTTTTCATGCACATGTATAAAAATTGCGGTTTTTATACGCCCATTTAAGGGACGTTATATGGTATACCTCTGTCCGTCCGTCCGTCGTCAACATGTTGGACATTAACTCAAAAATGCTTTAACCAATTTGCATAAAACTTTGGTGAATTGTTTATATCTATTGACGTGAGCTCCCGTTTGTTTTTTATAAAATTTAGATTTTACGTTTCCGAGTTAAGGGGTTTTATTCATTAAAGAAAGGGGGATTTTCCAGTTTTTGGACAATAAGTCAAGAATGCTTTCACCAACTTGCAAGAAATTGTGGTGAATTGTTTATATCTATTCACATGAGCTCCCTTTCGAATTTTATAAATTTTACATTTTACATTTCTGAGTTATGGGGTTTTATTCATTAAAAAAAGGGGTGATTTTCCAGTCTTCGGACAATAACTCAAAAATGCTGTCACCAATTCTCATGAAACTTTGGTGAATTGTTTATATCTATTGATGTAAGCTCCCTTTTTATTTTCATAAATTTCTAATATGACATTGAGAATTAATTGAACTTTATTTGTTTATAGTCTGACAACAGATTTACTAAGTATTGCACAACAGCAAGAAATCTTTAATTGAATATAAATTCAATTCATATAACCAATTTCAAGTTCTTTGACTACATTTATTCAGAAACCTATAATATGTCAAATATTTAATTACAATCCAAATTCAGACCTGAATCAAGCTTGAATATTGTGTCCATTTTTGCCCCAACTGTTCAGGGTTGGACCTCTGCGGGCGTATCTAGCTGCACTCACCGAAGCAGTTTATTATCCAATGCAATCATAAGTTTGAACGTTGTTTTCAATTTAGACTTGTTTATATTTTTTGGTTTAGCCTTGTATTATATTGCCTTTGGGTTTATATGATCCGTTCATCCTATTTCGACTCTTCAAAATTCGAGTCTATCCTAAATTGAGGTAAATTATATGGCCTTCCAAATACCGTTTCGATTCCTAACATCACTGAAGAGACATTAATTGTCGAAATCAGGATATGGTGTACTCATTTTTGCACCTTTTGTTTGCGGTGTACCATCTTTTCCGCAAGTTTATTGTTTTCTGTTTGGTATTAAATTAATAGTTAAGATCCATTTTGTTACATCTGGTGATCCGTTTATTTGGCAATTGCCAATGGCAGTCAGCAGGGTTTAAGAACATCTGTTGTTCGACCTGCTAGTCAAATGTGTTTTGTTAAAATATACTTTTTCAATTTTTTGGTCTTTTAGAAAATGTTATTTTTGCTGTATTTAGACCCCTCTACCAAGAAATTTGTTTTGCATGCACACGTATAAAAATTGCGGTTTTTATCCAACGCAATCATAGGTTTGAACGTTGTTTTCAACTTAGACTTGTATATATATATATCACTTTCAATTTAATTATTATGCTTTGCATTAAACAACCAACAATCAATCAATCATGCTTTGCATGGACAGCAACCTATTTTGTATTTAAAAAACCCGTTTAGAATTGACAAACGGAAAAATCTTTTGTTCAAAGTGTATAAAATGATATTGAATCAGTGATTGGCAAATACAGAATTGAATTTCTGAAAAATTATTTTTCTACTTTTTAGGACTACATCAGGTTCCAGGTTTGTGTTAACAAAAGTTTCTTAATTTTGGGTTTATTTCTCATACATTTTATAAGAGTTGTGGTTCTTTCAAAAAGCTGGACTATTTTAATTTATTTCATTAGAACATTCATGTCCATAAAGAATTATATTTAATTAATAATTTTTTTACTAAAGTCACTTAAAGTGAGATAACATGTCACAATTAATCAACCATTTGCCGGTATGTGATTTTTATACGACCGCAAAAAATTTTTTGTGGTCATATATTGGTATGACGTTGGTGTCATCGTCGTCGTTGTCATCCGGCGTCGTCCGAAGACACATTGGTTTTCGCACTCTAACTTTAGTTTAATTTAAGTGAATGGATCTCTTTGAAATTTTACCACAAGGTTCAATACCACAAAAGGAAGGTTGGGATTGATTTTGGGGGTTATGGTACCAACAGTAAAGGAATTAGGGGCCAAAAAGGGGCCAAAAATAAGCATTTTTGTAACTTCCAGACATAACTTGTGTGTTAGTGTATGGATCTCTCTGACATTGTACCACAAGGTTCCATATCACAAAAGGAATGCTGGGATTGATTTTGGGGGTAATTGCCTCAAAATTTTAGGAATTAGGGGCCAAAAAAGGGGCAAAAAACAAGCATTTTTCTAGTTTCATGACAATAACTTGTGTGTAAGTGTATGGATCTTTCTGAAAGTGTACTACAAGGTTCCATATCACAAAGGGAAAGCTGGAATTGAGTTTGGGGGTAATTGCCGAAACGTTTAGGAATTGGGGGCCAAAAAGGGGCCAAAAATAAGCATTTTTCTAGTTTCCAGACAATAAACTTGTGTTCAAGTGTATGGATCTCTCTGAAATTGTACTGCAAGGTACCATACCACAAAGGGAAGGCTGGGATTGAGTTTGGGGGTGATGAATCATAAGGGGGTTCAAAAAATTTGGGGGGGGGGGATTTTTTTTTTTCCCTTTTTTTTCTTTTTTTCCTTTTTTTTTCTTTTAAAATTTTCCATTTTAAGTTGGTTATTTCTGATTTATATTTAAAAGCAAATAATAATGATATGGTAGGAGATACACACCAAACAGGATGTGTAAATTATTATATAATAAGTATTGTGCAATAGCAAGAAATTTTTCAATTGCACAGAATTGCACAATAGCAAGAAATCTTCAATTGCACAGTATTGCGCAATAGCAAGAAATCTTCAATTGCACAGTATTGCGCAATAGCAAGAAATATCCAATAGCACAATATTGCGCAATAGCAAGAAATTGTCAATTGTACTGTATTGCGCAATAGCAAGAAATATTTAATTGCACAGTATTGTGCAAAAGAAGATACTTCGTATAAATTGCTTATTTCTTGACCAATTTCAATGGGGTTTTATTCTTGAATTCTTGGGGTTCTTTAATATGCTGATTCTAACCGTGTATTTAGTTTTTGGATTTTGGGCCCCATTTTTGAATTGGTCCACATTGAGGTCCAAAGGGTCCAAAATTAAACTTTGTTTGATTCCATCAAAAATTGAATCATTGAGGTTCTTTGATATGCCGAATCTAACCTTGTATTTAGATTCTTAATTTTTGGTTCCGTTTTCAAATTGGTCTACATTAAGGTCCAAAGGGTCCAAAATTAAACTTAGTTTGATTTTAACAAAAATTGAATTCTTAGGGTTCTTTGATATGCTGAATCTAAACATGTATTTAGATTTTTGATTATGGGCCCAGTTTTCAAGTTGGTCCAAATCGGGGTCCAAAATTAAACTTTGTTTGATTTCAACAAAAATTGAATACATGGGGTTCTTTGATATGCTGAATCTAACCATGTATTTAGATTTTTGATTTTTGGGCCCCGTTATCAACTTTGTCCACATTGAGGTCAAAAGGGTCCAAAATTAAACTTTGTTTGAATTCATCAAAAATTGAATTCTTGGGGTTCTTTGATATGCTGAATCTAACCATGTATTTAGATTTTGGATATTGGACCATAATAGGTGACTGTCAAATTTAAAATTTTTAAGTTCTTAGACCACATTCATTCTGTGTCAGAAACCTATGCTGTGTCAAATATTTAATCACAATCCAAATGCAAAGCTGTATCAAGCTTGAATGTTGTGTCCATACTTGCCCCAACTGTTCAGGGTTTGACCTCTGCGGTCATATCAAGCTGTGCCCTGCAGAGCATTTTATTTCAACATAAAATTAAATATTTCCTCACAAGGAGATCTCCGTTTTATCAGGTTCAAATTTATAGAAACTTTTTCTGTGTCTGTATCTTTCCATGTAGATGAATTTTGGTTTTTATACGACCGCAAAAATTAAAAAATATTTGGTCGTATATTGGTATCACGTTGTCGTCTCCGGTGTCGTCGTTGTCAGCTTCGTCCGAAGACAGATGGTTTCCGGAGAATAACTTTAGTATTTAAGTAAATAGAAATCAATAAATTTTAACACAAGGTTTATAACCACTAAAGGAAGGTTGTGATTGATTTTGGGGGTTATGGTCCCAACTGTTTAGGAATTAGGGGCCAAAAAGGGGCCCAAATAAGCATTTTTGTAGTTTCCAGACAATAACTTGTGTTAAAGTGTATGAATCTCTCTGAATTATACCACAAGTTTCCATACTACAAAGGGATGGTTAGGATTGACTTTGGGGGGTTATGGCTCAAACCAATTAGTAATTAGGGGCAAAAAAGGGGAAAACAAGGGTTTTTCTTGTGTTAAAGTGTATGAATCTCTCTGAATTTATACCACAAGTTTCCATATTACAAAGGGATGGTTAGGATTGACTTTGGAGGGGGGGTTATGGCTTATACCAATTAGTAATTAGGGGCAAAAAAAGGGGAAAAACAAGGGTTTTTCTGGTTAAAGGACAATTGAGACAATTGAAAAGCAGTGTAAGGGAGGTAATCCAAATCAATTAAAAGAACACTGTTTGATTACCTCCCTTACACTGCTTGTAAATTATGTATTAAGAAATGATGATTGTCTTGAGGTGATTAGCTGTCAATTTATTTTTAGCAGTTACTATTAATTAATATTAATTTTAGCCATGACTATGTATGTCATTTTATATTTTAAAACTTTTATGATGTATTTAAATGGGTAATTATGGTTGCAAACTCCACTAGAAATTTGAATTGAGATACTGACCATATCTTGAGGGAAAGATTTTTTTTTTGGGAATAAGGGAAAGGGGGGAGGTGAAAAAAATTGGAGGGGGGGGAAATTTTTCTCATTTCAGATTTTTTTTGGGGGGTTAATATTCAACAGCATAGTGTATTGCACAAAAGCAAAAAACCGGGGTAAAATTTTTTTTTTTTAGGGGGGGGGTCAATTCGCAACAGCATAGTTTAGTGCACAAAAGCAAAAAATTGAATATAAATTCAAATCATATAACCAATTTGAAGTTCTTTGACTACAGTTATTCTGTGTCAGAAACCTATTATGTGTCAAAAATTTAGTTACAATCCAAATTCAGACCTGTATCAAGCGTGAATATTGTGTCCATTTTGGCCCTAACGTTTCAGGGTTGGACATCTGCATCGTATCCAGCTGCGCTCAGCGAAACAATTTATTTTTTTTGTCGTTGGGTTGATGTCTCATTTGAAGTTCACCCATTGTCTCCTTTTATTCATACTTGATTCAGATTAATACAAATGTATTTATTCCTGCAGGATGGAGAAAACGTGTGAGATTTGCTGATGAAAAAAAACCTCCGGATTCTGTGAGGTCAAATGAGACACCAGAAGCCAGTGGAAAATCATCTTCAAAATGGAAAAAAATACAGAAAAAAGTAAAATCAACCAAGCCTTCAGACACTTCTCAGACTACAAAGCCAAATATTTCTTCAATAATAGAGAATGCCATCGCTAATGCACCATCTTTTAAAAAGGTTTGTTATGAACCCAGGTACATAAGCTCCCCTTGGCTGATTATGGTCAATGTAAGTTACATCAGCACTCAATGATCCAGGTGAAGATAAGTATTGTTGTTGAGTGAATTTCTAGAATGTATTTTTAGTAATATGCTGTATGCCTTGTGCAATATGCTGTTTTTGACCTACGAAAAGCTAAACACAACAGTATTGGTGTGCAAACTGAGCAAATACAAATGTACATGTGATCAAGTTTTAACGAATCACAAATCCTTAAAAATATTCAATTAATAATATATATATATACCATCTTTTCCGCAAGTTTATTGTTTTCTGTTTGGTATTAAATTAATATTAAGATCCTTTTTGTTACATCTGGTGATCAATATATTTGGCAATAGCCAATGGCAGTCAGCAGGGTTTTAAAACATCCGTTGTTCGACCTGTTAGTCAAATGCGTTTTGTTAAAATATACTTTTTCACTTTTTATGTCTTTTGGAAAATGTTTTACATGCACACGTATAAAAATTGAGGTTTTTATCCAATGCAATCATAGGTTTGAACTTTGTTTTCAAATTAGACTTGTTTATATTTTTTCGTTTGGGCTTGTATTATATTTTCCTTCGGGTTTATATGATCCGTTCATCCTATTTCGACTCTTTAAAATTCAAGAGTCTATCCTAAATTGAGGTAAATTATATGGCCTTCCAAATACCGTTTCAATCGCTAACATCACTGAAGAGATATTAATTGTTGAAATCCGGATATGGTGTACAAATTTTTGCACCTGATGTTTGTGGTATACCATCTTTTCTGCAAGTTTATTGTTTTCTGTTTGGTATTAAATAAATATTAAGATCCTTTTTGTTATATCTGGTGATCAATTTATTTGGCAATCGCCAATGGCTGTCAGCAGGGTTTTAGAACATCCGTTGTTAGTCAAATGTGTTTTGTTATGCCCCCATCGTAGCGGTGTGGGCATCAAGTTTTACCCTTGTCCGTCTGTACGTACGTATGTCCCCAAATTGGTTTCCTTTCTCTAACTTGAGTTTGCCTCAACCAAATGTTATCAAACTTATACACAATGCTTATTACCTCAATACACAGATCAAGTTTGAATTTTGGTGGCATCACTTTAACTGTTCCAGATTTATGCCCCTTTATAAATGGAAAAATTGCAAAATTTTTAGTTTCCATTCTCTAACTTAAGTTTGCCTCAACCAAATGTTATGAAACGTATACACAATGCTTATTACCACAAAACACAGATCAAGTTTGAATTTTGGTGGCTTCACTTTAACCGTTCTAGATTTATGCTACTTTATGAATGGAAAAATTGCAAAATTTTTAGTTTCCGTTCTCTAACTTAAGTTTGCCTCAACCAAATGTTATGAAACTTATACACAATGCTTATTACCACAAAACACAGATCAAGTTTAATTTTGGTTGCTTCACTTTAACCGTTCTAGATTTATGCTACTTTATGAATGGAAAAATTGCAAAATTTTTAGTTTCCATTCTGTAACTTAAGTTTGCCCCAACCGAACATTATGAAACCTATACACAATATTCATTACCACAAAACTAAGATCAAGTACACATGTTTTGTTTCCGTTTTCTAACTTAAGTTTGCCTCATGCAACCAAATTTTATGAAACTTATACCCAATGCTTATTACCACAAAACACAGATCAAGTTTGAATTTTGGTGGCTTCACTTTAACCGTTCTAGATTTATGCTACTTTATGAATGGAAAAATTGCAAAAATGTTTAGTTTCCGTTCTCTAACTTAAGTTTGCCTCAACCAAATGTTATGAAACTTATACACAATGCTTATTACCACAAAACACAGATCAACTTGGAATTTTGGTGGAGTCACTTTAACCGTTCTAGAGTTATGCTCCTTTATAAATGGAAAAATTGCAAAGTTTTTATTTTCTTCTAAATAAAAGTAATTTTTAAAATTGGAGTTATCTTCCTTTGTCCATGATTAAAGTTGAATCAGCTCCAATCAATGCTTTATACAATGCAATGTTTAATTTTGACTTCCACTGATAAAACACAGATCAAGTTGAATTTGGGTAGTGTCACTTTAACCATTATTGAGTTATGCCCTTAATAAATTGAAAGATTGCAAAATTTTTAGTTTCCATTCTGTAACTTAAGTTTGCCCCAACCGAACATTATGAAACCTATACACAATATTCATTACCACAAAACTAAGATCAAGTACACATGTTTTGTTTTCGTTTTCTAACTTTAGTTTGCCTCATGCAACCAAATTTTATGAAACTTATACCCAATGCTTATTACCACAAAACACCGATCAAGTTTGAATTTTGGTGGCTTCACTTTAACCGTTCTAGATTTATGCTACTTTATGAATGGAAAAATTGCAAAATTTTTAGTTTCCATTCTCTAACTTTAGTTTGCCTCAACCAAATGTTATGAAACTTATACACAATGCTTATTACCACAAAACACAGATCAACTTGGAATTTTGGTGGCGTCACTTTAACCGTTCTAGAGTTATGCTCCTATATAAATGGAAAAATTGCAAAGTTTTTATTTTCTTCTAAAGTAATTTTTAAAATTGGAGTTATCTTCCTTTGTCCATGATTAAAGTTGAATCAACTCCAATCAATGTTTTATACAATGCAATGTTTAATTTTGACTTCCACTGATAAAACACAGATCAAGTTGAATTTGGGTAGTGTCACTTTAACCATTATTGAGTTATGCCCTTAATAAATTGAAAGATTGCAAACTTTTTAGTTTCCATTCTGTAACTTAAGTTTGCCCCAACCGAACATTATGAAACCTATACACAATATTCATTACCACAAAACTAAGATCAAGTACACATGTTTTGTTTCCGTTTTCTAACTTTAGTTTGCCTCATGCAACCAAATTTTATGAAACTTATACACAATGCTTATTACATGTACTACATAATACAGATGAATTATGAAATTTGGTGGTGACACTTTTACCATTCTTGAGTTATGTCCCTTTTTAAACATAAAAATTGCTGAATTTTTGGTTTCTGTTCTCTGACTTTACAGGGGTTAAAAAATCCACTAGCCCGACGCCCGGGACTAGACTATTACACCTCGGGCAATTAAAACTTGTAACCCAATATGCCCGACGGACTAGTCACAAAAAACTCTTGGCATTTCCAAAATAGAAAGTGGAAAATCCCCTTATCACTATTCTATCTTAGCCAAACAAATTGAATTACGTCATCCGGGAGTCCAAGAATTTGAACCGATTTTGTACATGTTTTAGAAATAGAACAACTAACTCTGGGTGGACCGGTATCATGTATTGATCGCAATTCACGTACTTTCAATATCAATTTCTCAGTACAGGGGGTATTGTACATTGCTTATGCCGAGATTTTTAATTAATGGTACTTGGGTGTATAATGTAATGATCGATATTGACCTGTCTTGTCAGACAGCTGTTGAGCTTGAAACCATGCACAAATTATTTCTAAATATTTTAGTACGGCCACCACAGGAACTTTGTCAGTTTCAAAACGAAAAACGGTAGATGAAGGGGGTAATGAGGCTGAAAATTCATCCCAAAAAATGCCAAATACGACCAGGAAGAGCGGAAAAAAAAATTTATAGTGTCATGGACAGAAAGATTCCCCATGGGCAAGGTCGGCTGTTACTGATGATAAACAAGAGATTATGTTTTGTGAATATTGCCGTTATTTTCCTGATCACGCTGATAAAAAAACTGCTTTGTATGTGGGAACAACAAATATGGGAATTGAATCACTGGTATCACATGACAAGACCAATGAACACGTTTTCTGTGCCCAAAAATATTTAACAACCCATAGTACAAGGGAAATCCCAAAAGATGTCTAGAGATCCTTGTTATAATTAATAAAACAAAAATTTATTTAATTTATTTTATTAGATACAGTGTATATTGCCGCCTTCAAAACAAAGGACACCTACTATGTATTATGCAACAAATTCTGAATTTGTAAGGCATACTCGGGCTAGCAGGCCAGTTTTGATTGGCTAGCAGTTCTACTAACAGGGCTAGTAAAATCCTGCTACCAACAAGTCCTGGGCTAGTGAGCTGTAACACAATTTTTTAACCCCTGCGTTAGTTAGCCTCAACCAAATGTTATGAGACTTACACACAATGCTTATTACCACAAAGCTCAGATCAAGTTCAAATTTGGGTAGCATCACTTTTACCGTGCTTCAGTTATGTCCCTTTATAACTATATGATATGCAAGCAGGGGCATCATCCACATTTATTAAAATATACTTTTTCACTTTTTTGGTCTTTTGGAAAATGTTGTTTGTGCTGTATTTAGACCCCTCTACCAAGAAATTTGTTTTACATGCACACGTATAAAAATTGAGGTTTTTATCCAACGCAATCATAGGTTTGAACGTTGTTTTCAATTTAGACTTGTATATATATATATATCACTGAAGAAGGCTATTTGTTAAGCCGAAATATTTGTCAACACGATTTAATAACAACATCTTCATATAATACCATCTTATATTAGTATCGTTGTGCAAATCTCTAGACTTATATATATATAGTTGTATATACAGAATGTACACAGCTATGTATCACCATCACTGCTGGTGATCCGATGGATAAATCTGGTGTAGAGTTGTCACTGGTTCAGATGTACTTATATATATATATGTATATATATATTACCTATGTATTAGGTAGAGAGATGTACAATAGATGTGTAATATTAAGGTTTTAGAATTCCATTTTTCTTGAGATCTGGATTGTATGCACAATTTGAATTTCAGAGAAAAAAATATAATAACTCGCATTGAATTTCTCGCAATATTATTGGTGAAAAAAATCACTGCTTTAAGTGAATTTTAAGTGAATTCCTTTGTTTGTACTGTATCATAGTGCCACCATTCAAATTAGTTCACATCTTCTGTAAACATTTAAAAGTTTGTGAAAAAATAGAATGTCTGATCGTGTCTCTGTCAAAAAAGTTGCTTAATTATTTTATTTTATGTCCCGTCAACTTTTTTAACAACTTGCCAAAATGACCATGATATATTTTACCTGTCGGAAAGAGAAAAACCCTTGTTCAAATTCTGAGCTTGTTTTTGAAATTTTCATCTGTCATTAAAATGGACGTAAAATCGTGTAACATACAGCCTTCCATTTATTTTCGATACTCAGAGTCAGCTGCAGTGCCATCTTGAATCACAGTGGCTTGGGAAAGTAATGTGTTTTCCAGCGAATGAAAACATTAGGAATAAAAAAATTTCCTGGGCTTGAAAATTTTTTAATGGAACAGCTATTGGACAGCTATAACCTTAATAACTAAGATAGCAGTATTAATTCTAATTTTAGAAAAGCAAATGGAGAACAGATGCCCTAAAGAAATTGAGAAAACAACCTAAGAAAACAGTACTTGTACTACAGCCACTCTCTCCTTCACCAAGACATCAGGCAGGGCCTACAATAATTAAACGACCTTGGCCATTAGGCGAGACGACGCCACCAACTTCTTCATCTGTAAAGTTGCCTTTAATTAAGAAATTGTCAGAGGGAAAATCACAGAATACCGAGAATGAGGATCAAAGTCTGAAGAATAATAATCAAAACATGCAAGCAGTAGAAAAAGGTAAAACAATGGTATCTTTATAAATACATATAGATAAGAAGATGTGGTATGAGTGCCAATGAGAAAACTCTCCATCCAAGTCACAATGTATAAAAAGTAAACAATTATAGGTCAAAGTATGGCCTTCAGCATGGAGTCTTGGCTCACACAGAACAGCAACTATAAAGGGCCCAAAAATGACTACTGTAGAACAATTCAAACAGGAAAACCAACAGTCTAATCTATATAAAAAATGAGAAACAAGAAACACTTATGAACCACACCAACAAACAGCAACCACTGAATAACAGGCTTCTAACAGTCTATTCCACTTATTTGCATATAACTTTTATAAGTTTATCTGACAAATAGGCTAGATGCATTTAACCGGAATCAGTGTACTGTAAATCTGTCAACGTTTATTTGTTCCACCTATAACAGAAGTTCCCCTGAAAACATTTTTTATAAACAATGCCATAATAGACTGTTCCTGTTGGAATAAATATTCTATAACCTTTATTCTGTTAGGAACACATACTGTAATATTTGAGCTGCGTCTGATAGAAATGGACCTAATGCAAGTGCACATAATACAAGTACATGTGTAGGACTTTGATTGATTTTTAAACATTCAAATACGAAATAAAAGAGGAATTTTGGTCTGTTTTGAAGGGTTCTTATATCTACTTAATTTTCAAACAGTTACAGACTTTGCATAGAGATTTTTCAACTCTAAATAAGTTAACATATGTATAGATATTCATTTGCATCAGGTTGATTTCAGTCTGTCGCAGCTCATTTGTTCCAGTGGAAATAGTATTCCATTATATTTCTTCCATTTGGACTCATATTATGAGATACTTATATTTCATGACTGACCGAATTATTTCACAAATACATTTTTTTTTAATTTTGAGCCTGTTCATTGCTCTTTTTTTCTTGCGATTTTTTTTTGCTACTTTGGAAATCCATACTTTGTTTTTGTGTATTCTTGTAAGAGAAGATCAAAATTTAACAAGCTCTTGATGCTTTTTATTCGTGTTATTTATCTACTCTGGGAAAATCATGAAAGTAAGTCACTCATGAAAAAAAAAGAGGCAAAAGATAACATAGGGACATTCAAACTCATTAGTCGAAAATAAACTGACAACGCCATTGCTAAAAAAGAAAAAGACCAACAGACAAATAATAGTACACAAAACACAACATAGAAAACTAAAGACTGAGCAACAAGAACCCCACTTAAATCTGGGGGTGATCTCAGGTTCTCTGGAAGGGTAAGCCGATCCTGCTCCACATGTGGCATTAGTTGTACCAGGTGGGTTATCATGATATACCCTTGAAGCTATATCAAAGTGCTGTTGGGCAGTGGTAAAATACAAATTAATCATTTGGTCATATGGTCCATTCAAGGAATAACTCTAATTTGATATAAAGTGGAAAAAGACATCTATACGAATGATTGATTTAATGATGGAATGACAATGACGTTTACACATAGATACCATGACGTAACATAGATACCATGACGTAACATAGATACCATGACGTAACATAGACAGTGCTTAAGGAGTACATGTATAATTCCCAAGATACTATGATAAGTCTCTACTTATCCTCAACATACGAGGGGCCGCGAGTTTATGCAATTAAAGTCTCAATGAGCAATGTATCAAAATTAAGAAAATTGTCTGTGAAAGACTGAATCACATATAACATTATCACTGAATCACATGCGTTTGAAATTGTGCTAATCCATCTCGACAAAAAGTGTTGTAGTATTTGTCTAGTGTCCTGGAGGTCCTTGTGTTCATTTGAAGTTGGTGGATATGAGTGTAGACAGTCATTCAAACTTGGACTCTTTGTATTCTCTTTATAACTGCAATCATAAACAATTATAATCTGAGTAGTTGTAGAATCTTTCTTGACAGGGTAATTGGGAATGTAATGAAATCGCTATGGCTCGTCGTCAGGTTTGTCCTTAGCTTTTATTCCAAGGGATTCTAATTTCCCAAACATTTCAATATCATGATCCTCTCCTTCATGATTTGTTAAAACATGCATCATGTGTAAATTGCGTTGTTGTGTTGCACATGAAGTAAGTATTCCAGATAACAAATATCCTATTTTTGATCTCATCGCTGTCGGTCTGTTGCCTCGACATATATCGTCCTTAATTACATCCCAGTAGTGGTTTGTTCCAATGAGTAATGAAATGTCAAAGGTATTATCCTCTGACAATGGGTGGGCTAGTTTAAGTCCCTTCGAATACTGTTGTTTGTGTAAAATGTACCTGCGATTATTCTGGGTCAGTGCTGCTATGGTAGGTACAATCAATACCTGTAAAGGTATTTCTCTCCTGAGTCTACTTCTAAGTATACCGTGGCCTTGTTCATGTGGCGAACATTCGTGTCGTAATCTCTAAAGGCGGATATGTTGAGGGTTTCCTTTCCGTCTTTCTTGACTTTCAACATGTCTGCTAATTCATGTGCTTTAAAAGATTCCATTTTTTAACTATTCAAAAGAAACTTTTAACAAGGGTTCTACAGTGAACCAAAGTCTTTAAGCGTTCATTTGATACCAAAATCATCCACATTTATTACTTATTGACAAATTTATAGCTTTGCCAGAATTTTTTAGGAACTATTTTGTTTAAAATACATGTATGTACTTCTTTCTTGTATGTTCTTTCTAACCTGGCCAAATAAGTAGTTCTATACCTTAAAAGGTCATGCAGGGGTTATAATAATAATACAAGTGCCTTTTATTAACTAGTACTTGTAAATGATTTTTGGCGGTAGAATTATATTTCCACATTAAATTTCAAGTCCCATGTTTTTATTTGCACCATGTATAAATGTTATGTACAGCACAAATTATTTCCTTTCTGTTAAAATTATTTTTGGACTTGTTAAATATGCAAGCGCACACCAAACAGTGACAGGATAGTCAACCAAATGAAGGTGGTCACTTAGTGGTAGAAGTAGAAATTTCTTATATTATTCACACACTGTAATGCTCTTAAATTTATGTGTGTTTTGGATGTGCACTAGTGATTGGTAAATATTGATACGTTTCTGTGTTTTTAATATATGTGATTTAACATCAAGAATTCCATTATTATGGAATCGTTCACTTTTGTACACTTCGGTATCTAAATAGAGAGTGGTAAAAGGGAGGGTCTGAACACGGAAACACATGAAATAACATATCGCAAAAATGTTGCACGGAAAAAGAACACTCTGGAAAAACGAAGCCAAGGAATAAAATTGTCAATATTAAGGAAAAAAGTACCAAAAGTTATTACTCAGCCGTTCTTGGAGAACATGCAGTCATTATAAATGGACATGGCGACCCTGCATGTGGTCACCTTTTAGCGTTTGTTAGTTGCATCCGATTTATCATAGTAATACAATAGGCTATTAATAAATATCTTGGGACCAGTTAATTAGTTTATAATTTAAAACAATATTTAGGCTGACTTTGAATTAGTCCCGGTTTACTTTTTAATCAAATGCAGGACAAGCACGAGAAAATAAGAGTACCGACACGAAACACGGAAAATAATTAAGGGAAAACACGAACCACGCACATCGAACCAAACATGAGAAAACAAGAAATAAAACGTCGAAACACGTGAAATAAAAAGGCCGAAAACGTTGCACGAAAATAACCCTTTACCACCCTCTAAATAGGCCATACTAGATGTCGACACCTCATATTAGAACTTTAGTAGATGGTCAATTTCGTTTGCAAGGTTAAAGAAATCTTCAACTTGCTCTATTTTGCCTGTGAAGACCATAAAACCGTCCCCCTATTGACAGTGTAATTTGATGTTTTTTCTCCTTTGGAACTTATCTAAGATTTTAATGAATAGGGCAGACAGATGCAGATCTGTGCATGTTGGTGACAATGGGCGCTCCTATAATGTGTTTGTATAACAGTCCATTAAACTCAAATTCATTGTTTCTAAGAATTAATTTAACAAATGCAGTTAAATCTATTTTGTTGAGAATCTTTTAAATATATTCTCCTGTGTGTCATTAAATTCTAATGCATTGATAACAGTTTCTTCTAAATTATCAATGATCATTTCTGTGTACATTGACGTACATCATAGGCAATAAGAATGCATACTTTTTTTACCTCGTGTGACTCTATTTTATTAATGAAATTTTTTGTATCTTGAATGTAAAAGTTATGCCTCTTCAATAATTGGATGTTGGATGTATACTAATTGATAATTTAGTCTTAGATGCATGATTGTTTTAATTAGTTGTTAGTGGCTTTGAACTAGCTGTCAGTAACTGAGAGTACTCTCAGATCTGTACTTAGTGTCTATTTGTTGTTGGGATATACAAGTACCCGGCTACGTCCACTCTGTGTAGTATTTCTGTTTGTATCCATCTGATGAGTTAAGCCTTTTTTAACTGATTTTTATAGTTCGTTCTTATGTTGTACTGTTACACCACTGTACCAGGTTAGGGTGAGGGTTGGGATCCTGATAACATGTTTAACCCCGCCACTTTCTGTATGTATGTGCCTGTCCCAAGTCAGGAGCCTGTAATTTAGTGGTTGTCATTTGTTGATGTGTTACATATTTGTTTTTCGTTCATTTTTGTACATAAATTAGGCCGTTAGTTTTCTCGTTTGAATGTTTTACATTTGTCATTTCAGTGCCTTTTATAGCTGACTATGCGGTATGGGCTGTGCTCATTGTTGAAGGCCGTACGGTGACCTATAGTTGTTAATTTCTGTGTTATTTGGTCTCTTGTGGAGAGTTGTCTCATTGGCAATCATACCACATCTTCTTTTTTATATTTATAAATAGATCAGGTAAGTATCTCTCGCGGGAGAGTTACACTTATTGATGATGGGTCGGTAACGAACATTAATGTGTCCTGCTAGCTGACCAGTTCGCAATGCCTCATTACTTATTATACCCCACGCAACGAGTTGCGGAGGGTATAATGTTTTTGACCCGTCCGTCTGTCTGTCCGTCTGTCAGTCTGTCAGTCCGTTTTCTTGTCATCGCAACTCCTTATTATACCCCACGCAACGAGTTGCGGAGGGTATAATGTTTTTGACCCGTCCGTCAGTCCTATTTCTTGTCATCGCAACTCCTCTCAAACCACACAACAGAATTTCACGAAACCTCTTTAGATAATAAGGACATACTATGTAGTTGTGCATATCGACAGGAAATTACGATTCAATTTTTTTTCTAGGAGTTACACCCCTTTGAACTTATTTACTTTAATGTACTACTGCAACAGTTTGTCATCGCAACTCCTCTCAAACCACACAACAGAATTTCATGAAACCTTTTCAGATAATAAGGACAAACAACTTAGATGTGCATATCGACAGGAAATTACGATTCAATTTTTTTTCCAGGAGTTACGCCCCTTTGAACTTATTTGCCAAATATACTACTGCAACCTTTTGTCATCGCAACTCCTGTCAAACCACACAACAGAATTTCATGAAACCTTTTCAGATAATAAGGACATACTACATAGATGTGCATATCGACAGGAAATTACGATTCAATTTTTTTTCCAGGAGTTACGCCCCTTTGAACTTATTTGCCCAATATACTACTGCAACCTTTTGTCATCGCAACTCCTCTCAAACCACACAACAGAATTTCATGAAACCTTTTCAGATAATAAGGACATACTAAGTAGATGTGCATATCGACAGAAAAAATAACGATTCAATTTTTTTTCCAGGAGTTACGCCCCTTTGAACTTATTTGCTTTAATGTACTACTGCAACAGTTTGTCATCGCAACTCTTCTGAAACCACACAACAGAATTTCATGATACTTTGTAGATAATAAGGACATACTACATTGATGTGCATATCGACAGGAAATTATGATTCAATTTTTTTTCTAGGAGTTACGCCCCTTTGAACTTATTTGCTTCAATGTACTTTTGCAACAGTTTGTCATCACAACTCTTCTGAAACCACACAACAGAATTTCATGAAACTTTGTAGATAATAAGGACATACTATGTAGATTTGCATATTGACAGGAAATTATGATTCAATTTTTTTTTCTTATACAATTTTTTTTTCTTACACTTATTTTATTTCTCCAATGACAATGTGGGGACGTGGGGTATGTGAGCGCGCTCACTAAGGTTCTTTAATTTCTAGATTAATTTTATGAATTTTTGGAAGAAGGTACATGTGTCCTCCATGTTTTGAATTATTATTATTCTTTAAGAAATTATACGTCTGGGAATCTTTTTTTTTCTCTCCTTGCTTCATATTTAACACTTCTCTCAACATGCCAAAATTGTAATGATTTACAATAAAAAGAAAATATTATCCTCCACACACATGGCCAAGATAACACTGATATATAATTTCTTATTTAGTTGAATTAATAATTAGAATAAAAAAAGTTCTAAGGTTCACGTATTGTCTTTTTTTTTCTTAAAAAGCAACTTGTTATTGCAATTTTCGAAGAATGAAGATGGATATGAGTTTAATTATTGCGATTTTAGGAAAAGTTACATACAGATATATATACGGAATATCAGAATGTGAGTTCTAATTATTGTCATACTCAAGGCTTCACATTATTCGCATTATTAAAAATCTGGCAATAATTTTTGAATTTACACAGTATCAAATATCTGTATCTTGTTGAATAGTACTATGGTAATTAAATTGATTTCATGCTTTGATATGAATGAACTATATAGTGAATGGCAAATAATATAAGTTAGCCAGAATATATTTTTTTCAGAAGAAAAGGTTTTTGATCTTCACAAAGGGATGTCATGGACCGCATTGAAGAGTAACAATATAGATGATGATGGTCTTTCAACATATTCATGTTCGGATGAAAGAATACATGGCTTAAGTTATGGATCACAAACTTCCCTGATTAACCCTGGAGTAATGGGTGTTCTGGAACGTTTGCAGGAGTTCAAGGGTACCAGGTTACAGTCAGATCTACATCATGAATTACAAGAAATTCGTCACAGAGTCAATCAGGTAAACAGCAGTGGCAGATCCAGGGGGTGTTCCAGGGTTGGAATCCCCCTTTTTGTTTGACAACATATGCTTTTGTATGGGGACATTTGGTTGGAACCCTCCTTTTAAAAATGGCTGGATCCACTCCAGAACAGTTTCTCAACTTTTGATATTTCAGTTTCCAGATATATTTAAAGAACAAAAATGAAACTATAGAACTAGGGTTAAATCATATTTCTTGTTTAATTAAGTCTCCCAAAGAAGTTTGGGAATTCCGCCGCTTTTAAATTTGAACTTGTCCGCACCCGTTCTCCAAAACCGCTTGTCAGATTAACTTAGGGTTTCAGAATATGTTAGACTAACATGTCTAGTGGTGCAATCAGGGGTTTTGTTTGTGCAATGGGGTTTATAAAGGGGTACTTTGAGGGGCAAAAAGAAAAGAGGGTTTTACTATAGAACCCTATGGGATTTTATTTTTAAAAATTTTCAAATGATTATAAATTGAAAACCATTTGTGATAGACACAATCTTTTTAACTGAAAATGTTCTAAATGATAAAGCCCATTGAATGAAATACAGGGTTAGTCCCCAGGGGTCACCCCCACCCCATGCATTTTAAGAAAGTTCTAATACCTTGTAGGTGGTCAAGATCCCCACCCTAAACCATATATATTCTGGTTTGTCATGCTAAGATGGTTTGAATGAAATACAGGGTTAGTCCCAAGGGGTCATCCTGACCTCTTGCCATTTGAGAAAGTTCTAATATCTTGTAAATGTTTGAGATCCCCACCCCTAAACCATATATATTCTGGTTTGTCATGATAAAGCACATCAAATGTAATACAGGGTTAGTCCCCAGGGGTCACCCCCACCCCATGCCATTTAAGAAAGTTCTAATATCTTGTAAGTGGTCAAGATCCCCACCCCTAAACCATATATATTCTGGTTTGTCATGAAGATGGTTTGAATGATATACAGGGTTAGTCCCCAGGGGTCATCCTGACCCCCTGCCATTTGAGAAAGTTCTAATATCTTGTAAATGGTCGAGATCCCCACCCCTAAACCATATATATTTATACCCCACGCAACGAGTTGCGGAGGGTATAATGTTTTTGACCCGTCCGTCCGTCTGTCCGTCTGTCTGTCCGTCAGTCCGTCAGTCCGTCAGTCCTGTTTCTTGTCATCGCAACTCCTCTCAAACCACACAACAGAATTTCACGAAACCTTTTTAGATAATAAGGACATACTATGTAGTTGTGCATATCGACAGGAAATTACGATTCAAATCTTTTTCTAGGAGTTACTCCCCTTTGAACTTATTTACTTTAATGTACTACTGCAACAGTTTGTCATCGCAACTCCTCTCAAACCACACAACAGAATTTCATGAAACCTTTTCAGATAATAAGGACATACTACATAGATGTGCATATCGACAGGAAATTACGATTCAATTTTTTTTCTAGGAGTTACGCCCCTTTGAACTTATTTGCCCAATATACTACTGCAACCTTTTGTCATCGCAACTCCTCTCAAACCACACAACAGAATTTCATGAAACCTTTTCAGATAATAAGGACATACTACGTAGATGTGCATATCAACAGGAAATTACGATTCAATTCTTTTTCTAGGAGTTATGCCCCTTTGAACCTATTTGCCCAATATACTACTGCAACCTTTTGTCATCGCAACTCCTCTCAAACCACACAACAGAATTTCATGAAACCTTTTTAGATGATAAGGACATACTATGTAGTTGTGCATTTCGACAGGAAATTACGATTCAATACTTTTTCTAGGAGTTACGCCCCTTTGAACTTATTTACTTTAATGTACTACTGCAACAGTTTGTCATCGCAACTCCTCTCAAACCACACAACAGAATTTCATGAAACCTTTTCAGATAATAAGGACATACTACGTAGATGTGCATATCAACAGGAAATTACGATTCAATTTTTTTTCCAGGAGTTACACCCCTTTGAACTTATTTGCCCAATATACTACTGCAACCTTTTGTCATTGCAACTCCTATCAAACCACACAACAGAATTTCATGAAACTGTGTAGATAATAAGGACATACTATGTAGATGTGGATATTGACAGGAAATTATGATTCAATTTTTTTTTCTGATACAATTTTTTTTTCTTACACTTATTTTATTTCTCCAATGACAATGTGGGGAAGTGGGGTATGTGAACGCGCTCACTAAGGTTCTTTAATCTGGTTTGTCATGATAAAGCACATCAAATGAAATACAGGGTTAGTCCTGAGGGGTCACCCCCACCCCCTGCCATTTAAGAAATTTCTACATCTTGTAAGTTGTCAAGATCCCCACCCCTAAACCATATATAGTCTGGTTTGTCATGCGAAGATGGTTTGAATGATATACAGGGTTAGTCCCCAGGGGTCATCCCGACCCCCTGCCATTTGAGAAAGTTCTAATATCTTGTAAATGGTTGAGATCCCCACCCCTAAACCATATTTATTCCTCTTTGTCATGTCTCGAACATTTGAATGACGTATACGGTCAGTCCCCAGGGGTTCCCCCCACCCCCAATGTTCTAGTATCTTGTAAATGGTCGAGATCCCCACCCCTAAACCATATATATTCTGGTTTGTCATGCCAAGATGATTTGAATGATATACAAGGTTAGTCCCCAGGCATCACTAGTGCATATAATTTTACTGGACCAAACCAATTTTCACTGGAGGTTGCCCAATGTCAGGCGATCCTGGGAATTACGAATTATGGGAGCTTCGTTTGGGAGACTTCGTAACAGAATCCTGTTACAATCATTTCTTGTTTCATGTTAACTTCAGTAGAATTAGTCAAAATCTGACAGAAATAAACATACTCAGAAAGTCAATGAATTACTGTGACCTGACTATATAAGTGTTGCTCTCCACCTATTGCAGTTCATTCTAAATTCTAACCCAGTTGCAATTTGTTTTATTAAACCAAACTTAAGCTGGTCAGAAATTTCAACCAACTGCTGTAGAAATATACAGTCAAATCATCAAAGTGCAAGGTGATAAAATAAAACATACTTAATATCTTATAAGACTTTAATTCCACTTCATTGCTCTTATGAAAATGTTTCTCAAAATTTCTGTACATATTGTTTATGTAAAGTGTCATTTGAAAGGTGAGAGCAGGGCTTCCAAAAAATATTTTAGTCAAACGGACATTTTTTTTTTTTGTCTTATCCCGATTTTAATCCCTTAAGACTTAGTAGTAAAAGGCAATCATAGTAATCAGTTGGGCATCATATAAATTATGATTGACACAAAAACGACATTTAACTTGATTTTTTATATAAATTCGATGTTCTGCCGTTAACTGTTAAAATGACAGTGCACCATTCGAAGTGTGCACATCAGCGTACTTAAATCTGCCTTAGACTCTTTATTTGTGCAAAAATACGCTGTCAATAACTTCACTTTCGTTTTTAAAAAGTGCATAATCCTAATACCGGATGTTGACTTGACAATGGTAAAACACGGACCAGAGACAGATACGTAAAATCCGTGTACGTTTACAAAGCACGATTGAATTTAAGTAGCTCTTTCTGCGTTATTTCTTCAGGAAAATACTTGAAATGAACTTTAGATAAAGGTATCAATGATATTTTTAGCCTTTTTGAAAATTCGGATGCATAATTAAATCTCACTAGTGCACTAGTTCAAATAACGTGGTTCTGACGATTTTTCACTTAAAACCTTTTATTACTACCTTTTTAAATTTTCATCAAATCATATTTATTTACGTTTTCTGATAATCTAAATTTTGTTGACTAAACTAATTAGATGCAAACTGCTGAAATTTAAGAAAATAACTTTCAATAAACCGATCAATGTCCGGTACAAAATAGTTTACCTGTCGCCTGAACAGGTAAATTTCAGCTGTCAGAGAACTAATTAACCTTGATTTTAAAGTAGGGTTTGTTTTGCTAGTAGTTATTCATCATGTCACTTATATGACCGGAAATGTGTGGCTGTTTAAGGCAAAAGGTCAGGTCAAAAAGATCGCAGAAACTTCAATTTTTATACGACCGCAAAAAATTTTGCAGTTGTATATTGGTATCATGTTGTCGTCATCGTCGTCGTCCGAAGACCTTTGGTTTCCAGACAATTACTTTAGTATTAATAAACAGAAATCTATGAAATTTTAACATAAGGTTTATAACCACAAAAGGAAGGTTGGGATTGATATTGGGGGTTATGGTCCCAGCAGTTTAGCAATTGGGGGACAAAAAGGGGCCCAAATAAGCATTTTTCTAGTTTCATGACAATAACTTGTGGAACAGTGTATGGATCTCTCTGAAATTATACCACAAGTTTCGATACCACAAAGGGATGGTTAGGATTGGCTTTGGGGGGTTATGGTTCAAACCGTTTAGGAATTAGGGGCAAAAAAGTGAGAAAAAACAAGGGTGTCCTGGTTAATGGACAAATTACAGTGTAAGGGAGGTAATTCAAATACAACTTTGAATTACCTCCCTTACACTGCTTTTAAATTATGTATAAAGAATTTTTGTATTGTTTTGAGGTGATTAGCTGTCAATTCATTTTTAGAAGTTACTATTTTAATAATTTTAAAAATGCTGATTAAGGTAGATTACTTTTAGCTTTGATTATGTATGTCATTTTCTATTTTAAGACTTTTACGATGTATTTAAATGGGTAATTATGGTTGCAAACTCCATTGGAAATTTGAATTGAAATTATGACCATGACTGAGGGAAAGAATTTTTTTTTTTTAAAGGGGGGGGGGAGGTCAATTCGCAACAGCATAGTGTATTGCACAAAAGCAAAAAATTTAATATAAATTCAAATTTTATTCAAATCATATAACCAATTCTAAGTTCTTTGACTACAGTTATTCTGTGTCAGAAACCTCTAATGTGTCAAATATTGAATTGCAATCCAAATTCAGACCTGTATCAAGCGCGAATATTGTGTCCATTTTTGCCCCAACTGTTCAGGGTTGGACCTCTACGGGCGTATCCAGCTGCGCTTGGCGAAACAATTTATTTTTTCTGAACTATGTTAAAATGTCCGTTTCAGCATCGGCACAACAAGTCATTTGTATAATTTCTGGAAAAGTCTGGAAAATACGACCGTTTTGGAAGCCCTCGGTGAGAGGTAGAAATATTTGAATTGCCATAAAAAGGTCCAAACTATTTTAAAGCTTTCATACTATTTTTGTTTTAAAAAGTCTTCTGTATTCATAAGAATCAGAAATAAGTTCGAAATAAAACATGTTATATTCAGTAAAATATAATGAGTATGAATAAAGTTAAGGCTGTATGATATGAGATGAAAAAAGGTAAAGAATTTCTCAACAAAGTTCTGAAGTTGAAATAAACATGTAAAAAACAAGTTTAAATGATATAAAACAAGAATTAAGGTCTATAGGACACCATGCCCGCTCACTTAGCATTACATTTCCATGTTCAGTAAAAAATCCGGCTCAAAACCCTAATTTGGGATATACTTTAAAAAGTTCCATCACAAAAGAACATGTTTTTCATCATGTTCAAATATTGTTTTGTTAATAAAAGGCAGTTCACTGAAGGTCTTCTCTATTGAATTGTTTCAAATATTAGCTTACAATACAGTATGGTTCTTGCTCATAGTTGAACTCTGTATAGTGCCCTATAGTTGTTTTTCTCCTCTTTACAACCTTTGGTTTCTGGACTCTGGATGATAATTGTCTCCTTGGCAATCATACCATATTTCAATATTTTTATATTAAGTTACAAATTTATGTAACCAAATTTTCATGGCAAACTACCTTAAATATAGACTACACCTACCTTAAATGAAAACTTTATCCTGGTGGGATGGACAATCTGAAGGACAGACAACTATCCTAAGGAGGGCGTTTAAATAACATAGATTTTTGTGAAAAATGAACGTTTAACAATGTTTAATTGGGTTCTTTTTCTAGTTCAATTTTCAAATTAATCATGGATGGGACCATACATTTTAAAGTATCTAGAGAAGTAATATTATTAGGTATGATGTCTTCATTCCATCGATTATGTCATTTGGGGAGCATTATAAAAGGTTGATTGTGTGGACTTTCTTTTTTTTAGCTGTTTGCATAACTGTCAAACTGTAAGACAAAGGGATAAAATCTCAAGACAGGACTTGACTGCTAAAAAAGGGATCATATTATAATTAAATGTTTTAGATACATTATCAATTCATTTTGATGCTATGTCATTGACATTTTTTGTTGTTGTATATAAATGATGTCAGAGAAGTGAAAATATTGGAAAATTTCACATGTGAATTAACAGTTTTTATTTCACTGGGAAATCATAATATTTCACTGCAACCAGTGTGATATTAAAATTTCATTGCCCCTTTCTTAATATTTTCTTCTAATCTTTCTGTGTTATTAATTTCTGTCTCAGTCTACTTGTCTTAGTCCATTAGAATGATAATGTGATGTTGTCAATAAACAGGTTATTTTGATTCATTTATATGTTTCCGAGTTTAGTGTGACGTCCATTTTTGCTGAACTTGTACACATTTTTGTTAAGAGGCCAGCTGAAGCCCTCCTCTGGTTTTTCTCGCTGTGTCGACGACCCATTGGTGGCCTTGGGCTGTTTTCTGCTCTTTGGCCGTGTTGTTGTCTCTTTGACACATTCCTGTTTCCATTCTCAATTTTATCTATGGTCTTTCAAACTAGAGGAAATTTTTTGGATACATTTCATCTCAGGGCAATTTTACTCCTTTCATTGAGATTTTAGCCAAGAACCTCCATCTATGCTTTCAAAACCAAACATAATCGATAAGTAAGGTTCTAAGCTAGTTAAGATAATAACTCAGTTGGTCTTTTTACAAAATATGCAGTCAATGCTTCAACATTGATCATTCCAAACTGCAATATGAAACATTGAAGTATTAAAATTTCCTACTATAACTGTTGATTCACTGATATGTTTTGCCTGTGACATTGTTAATTGATAGTAAAGTTGAAAAGAAAGAACAAAATATTATAAATAAATGAAGAATTTTACTCAAGTAAATAAAAAAATATAGGAGGGTCTGGATAAAATCTCAGGACAGGAACTGACTGCTAAAGGAGGTATAATTTTCATATTAAAGTGCTGTATAATAAACTATATATAGTTTATTATGTTATCAAGAACCAATAACACCAGGATACTAAAGAGGGGGTGGACAGGGGCAAGGGAACATGGAAATGAGGGGCAGGGAGAAGGAATCACATGGAGGGAAGCAGGAACCTTGGGAAGCAGGAGTCGAGAGTATAAATATTTAATTTTTTAAATATTATTTTTGACCAAATATTCTTCTGGGCGTAAGGGGTGGGAAGTTGGAGTAGAGTGGAGGGAGTTGTTAGTAGAGGGGAAGGAAGTGGGAGTGGGGGATAGGGAATAAGGAATCAGGGACCTCCTGTCCATCCCCGCAAAGAAGATGATGGTGATGCAGTTCTTGTCATTCCATCTCTGTGAAATAATCTAATCCTTGACAGCAGCTTGAGGAGTTATGAAATTATAAGGGAAACATTAAACATTAAAAATGGCTTTGATTTTTATACAGGAAGCGTTTAGTATAATATTTAGGAAAAATGATTAGAAGTCTGCCTAAAATACAATTTGGATTTGTCATTCAGAGTTATTTCCCTTCTTTTTAAGCCTATACATTTATTTTTATTAATTATTGATTTTTGATTAAAACTTTAAATCTACTCATAAAATATCCATGTTTCAGCAAATTTGTTTATTTATAAGCAATTGACAAATATTCACCTGATTTTGACTAAAATATTATAGCATGTTGTAAAAAAAACTGTTTGAAAGATATAATGATTAATGGTATGGCTAAATATGCCCTTGTCAGAGTTTGAAAAATGACTAAGTTTAATATTTCTGTAGGTAACCATAATTTTAAAGCATGGTTCGATAATTCATTTCATTACTTATATAGAAAATATGAAATGTCAAAAGAGTGTAGTGCTAGAGTAAATATTCAATGTACAGTCATGAGTCCATTAGAGTGAGTATAAGATGGCCTCAAGCTAGCATTATTAATGTTGCCTTGGAACATAGTAGCAATGAAAACTAGATTATCTATGGTCTTTCGAACTGGAGAAAGTTTTTCGGCTTCATCTCACTTCCCGCTTGTGTTTTCAAAAACAAAAATAATCTATAAGTAAGGTTTCACACTAGGTAGTAACATAAGAATTCATGATTGATTGATTGGTGTTTGCTTTACGCCGCATGAGCGCTAAAAGGCTATATTGCGGCGAGAGCTAATTCAAATATTTAACAATTTAAAGTATATTTTTAAAATCATACAAAAGGTCCTTCAATATACTAAAACTCAAGTCTAAATTACAACGCTCATAAGAATTCAGTTTATATTCTTACTAAATGAGCTTAAGTCAATGCTTTAATTAACACCCTTACAAACCTGCAAATATGAAACATTCAAGTATTGAAATTTTCTGCTATTAATTATTGACACAGTGATGTTTTGACTGTGACAGTGTAATTTGATAGTACAATGCAAAGTAGAAACGAAAGAATGAAATATAATAAATATATGCAAAGTTTTACTTAAACCTTTTGACCCTGCCCAACAGGGACATATGTGTCCATTGTTTGAATATGAAAAAGAAAATTTTCCTAATAAATTAATGAACAATTTCAAACTTTGACTACATGAATAGTAATTATAATATATATTCTAAGATCCTTAAAGTTCAAACAAAAAAATGTATAACGACTAATGACAAATATGACAAATATGATGTCAGAAAATGCAGTTTGAAGAGGACATGCATGCATATGGTGTTCATTGTTAAAATTTTGCAGTGAAAGGGTTAGGTAAATCACAAATATAGGATCTATTGTGGAAGTATCATATTCCTTCTCCACCTGTGGCACATGAATTCTGTATGAAATCTATGTTGAAGTACAGTCACCAATATTAGAGTAAATTGCATGATTTAATGTTAGCAAATTAAAGTACCGTAATAAAAGCTGCTAATTTGATATATTTAATTAAAAAGATTTTTTTTTTCATTGAATGATCGACATTCAAAATCCCCATGTTTAAAACTAATGGTTAAAGAATGAAGTCTTGATCTAATAATATTATCTTCCCAGTTAAAATTTTGTTTCCATTCTCTAACTTAAGTTTGCTTCAACCAAATGTTATGAAACTTATACACAATGCTTATTACCACAAAACTTGGATCAAGTACGAATTTGGGTAGCGTCACTTTTACCGTTCTTGAGTTATGTTATTTTATAACATTATATGCAAGCAGGGGCATCATCTGTGTCCCATGGACACATTCCCCATTTATTCTTATACACCTAATTGCTGTTTGTTCATCATTACTTGAAATCAAAGATATTCCTGTAAAATTTTGAGGCTGCAATAGAAAACGTCTGACATCATGAAAGGAAATTGATTCATTGTTGTATGACATCAATAGTTTAAGTGTTGCAAATTCTTGGGGTCATGTGTCCCTGATTTCCAAATGCAGATAAGGTGTATATTGCAAGTTTGTGAGTTCTAATTCTTACCTTGAAATAAACCACTAGGAAAGTTCCTGTGATATATATTACTTGGTTTGAGTAAATATTTACCTCAATTCAACAGTATTTTAGAAAACATTATATTTATATTTATCTTTGTAGGCTTTGAAGAATGTGGATTTCATGTTTGAAGATAATGATGATAAGGTACATTGTTTAATTTACTTGATTTTTTGTTCACCTAGAATGATTTTTCTCATAGTAATTAATAATTGATATGAGATAATTGAATTTTCAAAGCTGAATTTCTTCATTGTATTTAGCTAAAAATGGGCCTGGATGGCTTTCAATTCTAGGTATTTTTATATTAATTTAGTCTTTGGTGTAGACCTAATAAGTTAGTGTTATTTTTATTGGTCCTGGGGTTTTACAAAACAAATCTTATCAGATAATTGTTTTCTATTGATTGAGTGTTATCTTTACTCCTTAAAAACAAAAGCATTTCAGCATGCATTTTTAATAGCTCATCTGAAAGCATAACATATAGAAGAAAGATGAAAAGATTGTTTTTTGGTTCTAGGAATTAGTAAAATGCAAGGAAGAATATATCTAAAAGCTTCCAACATTAGATAGGTTTCAAATGACGTAATTTAAGTTTGAGTTATTTCCCTTGGCCACCATTTTGGAGGGTAAACAGTTGATTTTATTATTTGATTAACCAAATTGAAACATGGAATACACACAATTTTGAAAAAAGATCCTCACTAAATTGTAGTGATGAATTAAGCAAGGCTAAAAGAAATAGAAATTCTTCAGAAAAAACTTTTTCAGCAGCCAGTATAACAAAGTTGAATTTGGTTGATTTATGAAGGAATTTGAGCACATTGACCTCCGACATGGCAACAAAAGAGAAGTAACTCTTGCTCATATTGTGTGAGTAAACCTATCAATTGATAATGATATGTTTGAATCTTGTGCTTTCAAATTATGTTAAGTTTCTTCTGTTTATTTGATGTTTTCATTTTGTCTTTTAGAAAGAACATTGTAACCTACAGTACGCCGCCATAATTAGTTTTCGTAAAAATAACAATGGTGGTCACATCACAGTTAGGCAAACAAGTTTTTACTTTCGTTTCCATGGCACAATCAGGATGACAGTTAACCTTTATAAAGACAGTTCTGTAGAAAAACGTACTTATCATGTGACACGTGCTTGATGACGTCAAATGTAGTTTCCAATGTTGATTGATGATTTTAATTTTTTATTGTCGTTTAGAAAGACGAAACCAAGTTTCCATCAATTGTTGAAGATATACAAAGTCGTGAGGTAAATTCAACTGTTTATCCAATGCTTATCTATTATAATAAAAATAAGAAAAAGTGGAGTTATTTTTTTATAAAGGCATACCTGCCAACCCTCCCGTTTTGAGCGGGAGACTCCCGCTCAAATGGCGAAATTCTGGAAATCTCCCGCTTGCCGGTACCCTCCTGCGCGGGAGTATAGATTCTCCCGCTTTTGGATATTTCAACGATCTTCAACCTTGAATGACAAGTCAAACAATAATTACGTTTTTGTGTCACTGATGAGGGTTGTTTTTACCTGTAAATCACCGACCATGTGAAATTAAATGGCTTCACTTGACAGCTTAGGTGTCAAACATAGTACTAATTAACGATCATTAACGACTTTTGCTTCAAGCTTTGTGTGAAACTTCAAAGAAATTTCGGGTTACTTCCCCTGTTTAATCCTGTTTTAAGTTACCCTTCTTAAAATAATGTGAATTGATTAATCAATATAAACTAAATACAAATTAAACAAAGAATCATAAAAGGATGGCAATTAAAAGATTTTGTATGCCTTAAGACAAAAAAAATAATTATATTTTAAAAATATCTTAAAAGATCTATACTTCTATTCAATGTTTATATTGAAATTTATAAGAAATGTATTGAACCAAATTTAGTGAAATATATAAGTCCATACACATAATACACCATCTGAGACAACATGATTACACTCTGAATCATACAGAGGTATCTGGGGTGAAAAGTTGTCCTGATTGGACTAAAATGTCAAAGATGATGAAATAGGAAAGAAACTAACAACACACCCTCTGTAGGATATAACCATATTTAAAGAAACAATATATTTATTAACTCTTATATGTGTTTCGTAGATGAATAAATAAACACGTCATATATTTCACTTGAAAATGTCATTCGCGCAAAATCTCCCCCTCAGCTCTCATAGCTGAGAGGGAGATCTCCCTCTTTGAAGGTTTCAGAGGTTGGCAGGTATGTATAAAGGCTATATATTATTTCAAACGATGTCAACATTAAGTAAATGTTTTTTCAGCAGCATTTTTGGGGGAATTTAAATGCTTCTCATATTGCATAGTTTTTCCTTTGATATAAGTGATACAACTGATATAAAACAAAAAATATAAATTTTAAAAAAGTATACCAGTATATGGTGTGGATTTTTTCCCTTTTCGAAAAATATGAAATAATGCCCTTAATTTTTCAGTTCTATCTCTAACCATAAAAAAACCAAAGAGCTCCCAGCATAATTTTTTGATTTTATCAGTTAAGTTTCCTGCAAATAATCGGTTTTTGTTTACCAATTATTTTCAACTTCTTAGTTTGGGATAATGTATCCAAAACGGGATTTTTATAGTTGAAGGCCGTACAGTTGCCTATTATTGCGTACATCCACTTCATTTGAACTTTGGTGGATAGTTGTCTCATTGGCAATCATACCACATCTCTTTATTTTTATATTAGTATAGTGATTAATCTAATACTATAGGCTATCATTAGTGGTTGGATACTAATTTTTGTGGCTGCTCTATGGTCGGGTTGCTGTCTCTTTAACACATTCCCCATTTCCATTCTCAATTTTATTTGTTAGTTTAGTTAAACAACAATTTAAATGTTAAGGATGTTCGCTACTCTGTTTCAAAATAACAAGCTTTTTAAATGACTGTTATAAATTGATTGTATATAAATAACGAAACTAAAATAGCAGAAAAAAATCAAGGGTACTTGTTTTCGAGATATAAGCCAATGAAAATTTGGCGAGATTTTCTCAAGATTTTTCATACATTTAACATTGGTACCTTTTTTCTTTCAAAAGCTATAAAAAAATAACAAGGATTTTATGAGATTTTCAAAGATGGCTTTTTAAACTATATGTAATAAAATTATGAAAAGAAAAGTAGGGGTTAGCGGGCAAAATATTTATTGGCACCACATGGATAAAACCAGAGGATTCCGAATATCTGACAAAATTTCAAGAAAATGACAAAAAATGACAAGAGGAGTGAACATCCATAAAAGAAGTACAAGTTTGTATAAGTTTGTATGCAGATTTTGTCATAACCATGAAGTCAAGTATCCATGAAAATGCGAAATTTCTTAAATCAACTAAAATGGATAGCCAAGAAAATAAATGAATCTACTGTTCATTCACTGAACGTTCCTTGGTACAAATTTTGTGGTTGAAAAAAAAAAAAACTATTTCAAGGGTCCACAATGTCATGATGTTTCATCATTTGCTTCTATCAAAGTAACACAAAAATATGTATTTTTCTGACTATTTAAATTCATGGTTTTAATTTTAATCACACAATTCACGAAAATTGGTACTGTTAATTGAGAAATAATTGCATGCATTAGTTATTGCAAATCCCTGATTACTGGTAAAAATGTGAGAACTAATTAATCTGATTGCAAAAATTTTTGAATGAAAATCATTACTGAAATTATGAAAGCAAGTCTTTAAATTTTGTGCATGAAGATTGATGCTGAAAATATGAATGTATGTCTTTATCATTTGAAACCTGATACTCTCCCATTTTCTGCATTGATTAAAACATCGCAAGAATTTTTATACCCCCGCCTCTGTCTGTCCATCCGTCCATTAGTCCGTCCATCCGATGAATATTTTTCGTCGCATTTTTCTCAGGAACTACATTACAAGGATTTCTGAAATTTGGTTTCAGGGTTTATATGAGTCAGCTATACTGGTGATGCGTTTTCAGATTCATCACTCAACAACTTCCTGTTTACCTTATACTTTTATCAGGCGGGGGTATCATTAGTGAGCAGCAGCTCACAGATTCACTTGTTGAATTTACAATAACAGTAATTATAATTGGTTATGTTGTAGCTTGAACGTCAGAAAGAGGTCAATGAACTGATCTCTGGGATGGTAGAAGGTTCCGAAATTACACAAGGACTCTTAGTGGATGTCGATGAATGGTTTCACGAAGTCAGAATCATGGTGCGTATTTTATTATGACCAGAACAGTGTGTCTGTGCTAGGCAAAAAGTCAAGTCAAAAAGATTTTAAAACCTCAAATCTTTTTTCTGAATTATGTTAAAATGGCCATATTTTGAAAACCATTACAACATCTAGGTCATATATTTAGCTTTTTATGCACACTAGCCGAACCCCCTCAAGAAAAAAGAAAAAAAACAACCAAACAAACTGGCAATTAATTGTTATGTAAAATTTCATACATAGCTACCAGATTCAATCTCAAAAATTTTATCTAGAAAATAGCTTTTATATTAAGCATAATTAGAAAAAAATTATCTTGAACTTAAACACTGTTGACATGAAGACATTAAAAATCTCACCAAATGTTTTGAACAAATGTGAATAAAATGAGAAGTGGGGTAAAAATCAATGATACAATAACATAACAACAAAAAAACCCACATAGGTTATTAAGACATCTACATATGACCTTTACCAAAAGGCATTGTGTATTTTTACCCTAATTTAGGGAAAGGTTATCAAGATGTTGACATATGACTTAAATCAATAGACAATGTGTATTTTTACCATATTTTAGAAACAGGTAATCAAGACATCCACATATGACATTGACAATAGACAATGTGTAAATTTGTCATATTTTATGGATAGGTTATCAAGACATCCACATATGACATTGACCAATAATACAGTCTTCACGATAAACTTTTGAATCTACAGGCCTGAGCTGAATTTTACGAAAAACTTTAGTTACATTCTATTGGCCTGTAGGGATTACAGGCCTGGGCTGGTGGGCCTGTGGTTGAGCATGAAGACTGCCAATAGACAATGTGTAGTTTTGTCATATTTTATGGATAGGTTATCAAGACATCCACATATGACCTTGACCTTTAGACAATGTGTAGTTTTGTCATATTTTATGGATAGGTTATCAAGACATCCACATATGACCTTGACCTTTAGACAATGTGTAGTTTTGTCATATTTTATGGATAGGTTATCAAGACATCCACATATGACCTTGACCAAGAAACAATGTTAACTTTTACCATATATTTTAGGCACTGGATAAAGGTGTGGATGAAGAATTTGAAAAATTTGTCAAATCAACTGATATTACCAAGACTGATGTTATGTAAGTAATTAAAGTAATTACTTAAAAACTACCATAAAGTCTGTCATATTAGTTTTTCTTCTTTGTTTTGTCATAAATCAGACTGTTGGTTTTCTTGTTTCCCATTTTGTCATATCTGGACTTTAATAGCTGTCTATACATTATGGGTTTTGCTCTTTGTTGAAGGTGTACTGTGCCTATAGTTACTTACTTACTACATCCTTGCTATGCCCTTTGGCACATAGGTTCAAGGACAAGTGAAAGTTTCTAACAGCCACTTCAATATTACTATTTGTAAAATCAAATTAATTAAATGTTTAAACAAACTGTAGTTGGCATTTTAATCAGGATAAATATTAACTTTGCACAGGTCATTATTGTATGCCTTGAAGCACTTTTCATTGAAGCCTTGTATTGTCTAGGTAATTTCTTCAAAAGACCTATCATTTGAAAGGAAATCACTCCATATAGGTATATAAGAGCTTCCTAAAATTTGGTTTAAAGATTCATGTGGGTTTTCACATCCATCACTGTTTACAGAATAATTATAAAAGGAGTATCATAAGTGTACAATAGCTCATAGAACATCTTGTATGAACACATTGTGATGTAACACACTGAAAATATAACAACCCAACATGTAACTAATACGATGAAAGAGTCTTGATAAAAGCTTTTGTTTCTTTTTATTAAAAACAGTTGATGAAAATATGTCATATAATAAACATAATAAAAACCTTCAGTGAATTATAGGTCTTGTTTATGTGTTTTGTAGGAAATCTTTGAAAGAGTTTGGTGATGCCAGTCAGAAGATGGTAAAACTAGGTAACCGGGTCTTAAAAGAAGCTGGTAATATAATAAAAGAGTAAGTTTTAACTGGGGTTAAAGGTCAAGCAGGGTAACAGAGTTTGTAATGTAATAAAAAAATATGTATTATTAGGGGTTAAAAATCAAACAAGGTAACATGATCTTACAATAAGCTGGTAATATAATAAAATAGTTAGTTTTAACAGGAGTCAAAGGTCAAACTGGGTAAAATTGCCTTTAAAGAAGCTAGTAATATAATGAAATAGTAAGTATTAACAGGAGTCAAAGGTCAAACTAGGTAAAAGTGTCCTTAAAGAAGCTGGTAATATAATAAAATAGTAGGTATTAACAAAAATCAAAGGTCAAATTGGTAATAGAGTCTTGCAAGAAGCTGGTAATATAATAAGAGAATAAGCATTTACAGGAGCTAAAGGTCAAACTATGTAACAGACTTGCCAGATAGATACAAAGCACAAAAAACAACTAACAAAAGGACAAAAGACACAAAGTACAGATCTGAGACTATGACCAGTTTATAAAAGCTAGTTCAAAGCCAATAACAACTAATAAAAAAATCATGTATCCAAGACAAAATCAATCAGTTAACATCTAATGGATTTAGTAGAAAGACTTCATTAACAGTCTGAGAAAAGCATGACCTTGTGCAATGCCAAAATATAGGTATCGACAGTATGTAGGGACGGAAGTAGTAATAACTGTATAGTCTTCTATTAAAGGAGTAAAAGTATTGCAGTAAGAAATAACTACAACCTGCCAATAAAATATTGCTGAAACATGCTCAAGTATTGTCATTGATATATAATAGTTGTCAGGGAACAGTCAGAAATATTAGAAATTTAACACTTCCTGGAAGCCTAGATGACAAGAAATTTGACAGGTAATTTTGTGTAGTTTAGTGTAGTAAGGCCTTCAGAAGTTAAGATGAGGTCTTAAGCTGAGATGTAATGAAATGATTTTCTACTAATTGACTCTTCATGGTGCATGTTGCCTTGAATTTAGTAGAATGTATGATTTGATCAATTATAATTTCTGTTTAATATGTTTTGTCATACCTCTACCATATTGTTGGCTGCTTTGACAGCTGGTACATACCCAAAGAGCTTTCTGGGTACTGGAAGTTTATTTTAAGTCAGACATTTGCTGAAAACCTAACATACTTTTTGTGTTTTGTTTTCAGGAATGAAACTGAGGCAAAGAAAATGAAACTAAAAGCAAAAGAAAAAATAACCATTTATGATGGTAAGTTTGAGTGACTGTAATTTACCTACATGAAGAACACATCAGATGTTTAATGATGTTTAATGATAAACCAATAGCTTTTATACAAATTTGGAAGTACATTGTATTTAAATCAACAGACATCTTGACCAATGATTTTTCTCCATATTCACTTAAATTTAATAATGACTCCTTGCTATAAATGAACTATTAGTAAAACCATAGAGGAAAAATATAGAAAAAAGTCAAACCGAAATTATAATCTATGTATATAAATTTTTACTGCAGTAAAAGTATATATTCATAGGAATAGCTTACCATACAGTATGGGTTTTGATCATTGTTCAAGGCTGTAAGTGACCTATAAATATCACCGTCAATTGATCTCTGATGAATAGTGCTCTCATTGGCAATTATACCACATCTCCTTATTTTTATATATTATATTATACATGTGAAAACACAGATCAGTGTGGATAGTAATTGTTAAAAAATTGTGTTAGTATGTTCATTGTTGAAGGCTGTACGGTTGCCTATAATTGCTTACATCCACTTCATTTGAACTTCGGTGGCTTGTTGTCTCGTCGGCAATCATACCACATCTCCTTATTTTTATATTGACAGTGTTATCATCACCAAGTTTATGTGTTGGTTGTGACCCACCAGATGTTTTTTGAGTTATTTCTTTGTCTTTCACATAGGGTTCTATGTTAATCTGTGTTCTACATTGATGGTCATCTTGTTATATTTTATAATACAGAATTTTTGAGATAGTTTGATCATGTCTAATCTCATTTTAAACACACCAGTCAGGTGATTGCCTCAAAGTTAGGGCTGGGATACACTGCCAACATATATTTTTTCCGCCTAACAGAAGTTCCACTGGAAACTTTGCTCTGAACAATGCCATAATATATGTTCCTGTTGGAACAAATATTCTATACTCTTTATTCCATAAGGTACAAATTCTGTAATATTTGTTCCAGTGGAAAAAAATATTGCAGAATATTTCTTCGATTTGAAACTAGTAATATGAAGGAACTTCTATTTCATGACAACACACACATTGTCTGCATAAATGAAGGTTAAGGGGGTCAAAACAGAAAAGTGAAAGGATATCTATAGTTTGAAATTTAATCAATTTTTTTCTTTTGCTTAATTCTATTTTAGAAAGCCTAGGCAGATAACTAAAACAATATCTTGAATATGCCTTTTTTAATCTCCATGTTGAAACGCCCACTATCTCTAAACTCCAGTATTGATCTTTTTAGGAACAACCATGATAGCATATATATTACAGAAAAAAATATTGTAGAAATATTTTAAGAATATGATTATATACTGTAAATTAAGAAAGTTATTTGATGTTTTTATAAATGTGAAAAAATCAACAATATCAGTTTCGCAATAATAAAAACTCACGTTCATAATTTCAGAAGTGTGTTTCCTTTATATAAGTTTTGCAATTGCATCATAATATTTGGAGTTTTTGCCAATGGACAAGGATTCGCAAAAATAAATGCACACAATAATTTCTACAATTTCAGTATATAAAAAAAAATATTTGGTATGATTGCCAATGAGACAAACTTTCCAAAGAAGACCAAATGGCATAAAAGTTATGTTTTTGTTTTTGTGTATTTTGTGTAGTTGTGATTACATTGTTCTCTGAGACTTATTTCTTCAAGTTAAAGGTATGATCACTGAAATAAAAAAAATTGAACAGAAAAATTCCAAGAAAACTTGATTATTAAAAAAAGAAAAAAACATAAAAGTGAAACTGTGTTGTTTAATTTCAGAACATGAGTTAATGGTTGATGCAGCCAAATGGGACAGAGCAGTAAAGATGATTATAAATACATTTGATGATGCTTTGAAATCAACCAGGAATGCTGCTTATAAGTCCAGTAAGTATGGGAGGACATGTACACTCCATCATTCACTATGACCATGCAAACGAGAAAAAAAAAACGCAAAAAAAACGTTCAACAGTTTGAAATTCAATTATTTACACACTATTAAATTTTCAAAGAGTTAACAGTTTTGTCCAATTTCATCTTAAAGGCAAGCAGTTTAACAGAAAACATTGCAAAAAGTTATGATCACTGACCTATTTTTGGTTCTCTGACCTATATTTGTTTCTCAATTGTCGTTTCTTCAACCTTGTATTTGCTACTTAAATTTTTTTAATGAAAAAGTTAAATGTTTCAGTATACACAAAGGCACTGAAACAGTTCAGATACTTAGCATCTGCTATGTCTAAAAAGATCCTGGATTTGAATGCAAAACAGAGGGAAGTTAATGATCTGAAAAAGGTTGGTTTTCCTATTGTCAAGGAAATAAGAAAACTTTTAAGAATATTTTTTCTTCCTTGTAAAAAATGTTTTATTATGCATACCTCCATGTGTCATTCATCACAAAATATGAGAAGGGTTAGGGTCTCTTGCTAGAGTGCTTTGCCAAGAATATGAAAAGTCAAGGGTTGGACCATTAGCAAGGTCAAACCAACCCTACAAAATTAGTATTTGCAAGTTCATTTTAAAATGGGCAGGTTTAATAATTGGTCTTCCTGCAGACAGTAACTGTAAATTCAGAAATTATTGTGAGGTTTTTATTAATGTGAATATTGTGACCGGGTGAGTATCGCAATAATAAGAACTCACATTTTGATAACTGAAACATAAATCTGCATGCAGATTTTTTTAAAATCACAATAATTAAACTTGCATTTTTGTCCATTCTTGAAAAATCGCAATAATAAATGCACACAATAATTTCTGAATTTACAGTACCTTGTGCTCTAGCACAATAAAAAACCTGACTTAGTGTTTGGATCTAATACAAGGCACTTGTTGATAACTTGATTTGTGTAAGGGCATTGATATGTTATTGTCCTGAATATCTGTGATATCGCTGCTTCACCCATCAATCAAACCATACAAAGCAAACCTACAATTCTGCACTATTTAGGCTCATTAAGTGTCTTGGGTATGATCATGTTTCTTCAGATCAGATGTTAATTAGTTAAAAGTTCTTTTCATGTCGAGGGCTATTCCATTACTTTAAATGTGGGGGTGTAGAAAGGGAAAATTCAATTTTTGGACATGGATCTTGGGTCATTTATAGCCGGTTGTATGTCATTTGATGCATGCGAAATTACTAAGAAAGTATGTTGGTTGTAGGGGGATGTCTGTAGTTCCTTCCTATCCTCCCATGAACACCCCTCCCACATCCATTTTAATGGAATAGCCCTTACTGAAATCTAATTACTGAAGTTAGGAATCACCAATTCTTTAAGGGCTGTTCCATTAAAACATGCATGGTACTCAGGGAAGGCACTTTTATAATGGGGTAACCATCGATAGAGGCAATTTAGAATTTCTCCTTACATTTTCACTGTACAAAATAATTTTAACACCAGTCCATAGTTGAGATTTCAAAATGCCTTCCCTGGGTCCCATGTATGTTTTTATTGAACAGCCCTAAGATATGCATGTTTTATGGAAATTTTTTTCACTGATCAGCCAAACTTAAAGGTTTTAGTAATTTTCTCAATGGTTGATCATGAATGATAATCCTTCACTAGCGAGTAATAAGCAAACATTTTGTTAAAAAAAAAAAAAAAGGGAAAAATACTAAGTTATATGGTTCTTCCAATGAAAACAAAATCTTTGTGTGTTCTGATTTGAAACAGGAATCCAAGGAATGTTATGGTTTAAATGATATGAACTAAGTTCAAAATTTGACCATGCCAAATAAGAGTGCAAAATATAGTGTTGATGATGACGTGGTTGCTGATTTCAAAAGGGAAATAACCTGATCACACCTTGCCCTTATGGGTTGGCCTAATGACTACTACTGAAAGAGAAATTTATATTTCTATCATTCTTAGCCCATTTTTCGCCCACCTGGCCCACAGGGCCAAATGAGCTTTTCTCATCACTTGGCATCCATCATCCATTAACTTTTACAAAATTCTTCTCCTGGTATGAAACCACTAATTCATTGCCCCATTGCTTTCTATGTTAAATTATGCAACTTCATGCATTAATGGCTACTTTGTCTTAAGTTCAAATAAAGTGGCAGTTATTTCATGTCAAAACTATACCTTATCCTGACTTGTGCTGAAAAATTCAACATACCTTTAATTGCATATTAGAGCGTATTGGTTCCCGGAAGTTTGATAGTACAAAAACAGGTAGTTCTGATCTGAACAACAGGGCAAATGTGCCCTCCTATTAAAATTTCATATACTTTCAACAAGGATTCTACAGTGATCCCAAATCCCTAAGCCTTCATTCGATACCAAAACTACCCAAATATTTCACCTATGAACAAAGATACAGCTATGCGTAGGAACTATTTTGTTTCAAATATGTACTACTTTCTTGTATGTTCTTTCCGACCGGGCCTGAATTAGTGGTTCTATACCTGTAACAGCACCAAACTTGTTATATTGACTTCTGTTAGACTTAATTTCCTTCTATGATCTATTTCTGGCATAGAAAACCACATAAAGCTATTGTCAAAACACTTTATCACTGAATTCAAGCTCAAATTGGACTGGTAGTAACATATGCGTTATACAAAGAAAACTCCATATGGATACTAATAGTGACCGATATGACACTTTCTCAATTTTTACCAGTTCTTCTTTGTTAATATCTACTCAAATAACAATATTCTTACCTATATGTCTTATTTTTATCAGAGATTCTTCCTTAAATATAAATACAGTGGTCCAAACATGAAATACAATTGATAATTTGGTCCCCCCTTTTTCTACATGTTGAAAAAGGAGAGTGATTTGGTAAAAAACATACTTTTATGTATGAACATGGATCAACAAGAGCAATTTATGTATCTCACAGCTAGACAACTTGCTAAAGTGGTCATAAAATGCATTTCAAGTGAGATTTTGGAATTCCTATATAAGTATACACCAATTTCCTTTGAAATAAATGATACACTAAGAAACCCAATAAAACATGAACACTAGCTCACTAGATAATTTGACCAAAAGAAATATTTATACTATAAACCAGTCATAATATACATGTTTCATTGGTTTCAGTCTTAGATAATGCAAAAATTTAAACTTCCACATTTCCGCACTCTTAAGTTTTCCTTATCCAAATTTGATGTAACTCGTACACAATGCTAAGAACCACAACACAGTTTCAGTTTGGGCTGTAGGTCATTTACTGTTCTTTACTGTTCGAGAATTATGTTCCTTTTTAACTTGGAAAATTGCATAGCTTGAGCGGGGGCATTCATCAGACACATTCTTTTTTATTTCATTAAATTTTCCACAAATGCCAAAATGTTGAACTTTGTCATGTTTTGGAAATATTAAGCATGCTGGGTACATGGTTTGTCCTACAGTTTTAAAAACTTGAACCTTATATTATTCTGAGTGTTGCTACATATATAAAAGGTGCATGTGCATTGGATTTTGTTGGCATTCCACAAATAAGAATTTTGAGATTTGTCATTTTGATACAAGGTATATCGTTTGTCTGGTTTACTACTCCTACTCTTTTCAAGATCGATCTTTTAAATCATATCATGTTTTATATTATGGAGTGTATTATGATATGTATTAATAGTGCACATATAATCAGGATTTTGATTTTCTTTAAATTTTTCAATCATGACAGAATATTTTTTGGCATGAGCATCAAATTTGTCTTTAAGACACAACCATTTCAAATTTTACTTCAACAGTACTGTTTTACTTACCGGTAATGTAATGTTTGTGGTACTGTATTCATGTATATGTAGCAGTACGTGGCATCATCTTTGTTGTCTTTCATGAAAAGGTTGGAACAATTCAACCTAGTTATCAGGAACACTTGTTTGAATAAAGTTTGAGTTAGATATGAAAACTTCCATCAGAATGAGGGTACTCTTCACATTGTTCTTTATGATGTCTAACTTAACTATTTAACTGCATTTTTCTACAGTTTTCTAACACTTTTGTTATAATTTCTGTGCCAGACATTTTTGCATTTGTAATGTTGAATACTAAGAAAAATTTTTAGTTTGTGTAAATACTAAACAGATGTATTGTTGTTATGAAAAGGGGTTAGGGTATGGGTCAAAGGTGTATAAATTGGAAGACTGAATTTATACTGTTACCAGCAGTAAACGCTAGAGATTATATATAATTTTTTCTCTAATTCTTCGTCAATTTATCCCTTTCTGCAGCCATTGTATAAAAAAAATTTAATCAACGTGTGGTTCATTTGATCTCATTTCTTCATTGGTTTAAATGCGATTATAACGTCGAATTTTCTTGCTTTCCTCTGAATTTCCTATTGTGACGGCATGAAAAAAGGCGACCATGCCTGATGACGTCACATAGAAAGAACACATCTTTTTGCAGATCATTCAAAAAGAAGGAATAAGTTTGCCTGCATATTGTTTGAAAATCATTAGAGAAACAGATTCCACCACCAAATCTCGTGTAATACAATATTTATCCACTCTCGACAGTTAAATTTTAAATATTTAAAACGATCGGCAAGCCTCGCGTTTTAAATTTGAAAATTTAACTGTCTCGAGTGGATAAATATCTTATCACACTCGATGCAGTGGTAGAATCTATATATATATAGACTTTTTTTTTGCAAAATGAAAAATATCACATTTCATATTTTATAAACAAAAGCTGTTTCATATTGTTTTTTATAACTACCAAAACTTCCATCCTCATCAACACTTATTTCACTAGATACTATCATAATTCCTGTTTCTCTGTTGATGTCTATGGCATACAGAGATTTGCTTCCATCAGCCACTGATAGTATTGTCTTGCAGGTTTTACCATCTGGTGATACTACTACGACACTCTTGTTGTACATAGAAACTATATAAACAAAGCCATTCTTGTCTAATGTTAGTCCTTGTGCACCATTAATATCATCGTGCATAAATGTCCAGAGAGGTTCTCCAGTACTTTTGTAGCAACAGACTTTGTTTTTGTAATACATGGTACCATAGATATTTCCTTTGAATAATGCAACACGATCTGCCACAATACCTTCTAAGATTGTATAAGACATATCATTTAGATTCACTATTGTACTTTTATGATTACTGCTAACGAGCAATATTTGACCATCACTCGCTACTGAACCACAGTAGTGAGAAAGGTTAATTGATTTGAAAATTTTATTTTTTTCTACATCCACCAATGCTATCTGTTTTTGTAATTGTAATGTGACAGCAACTGTATTGGTTCTAATGAAGCAAGTATCCCATGAGCGTCCTTTAAATTTCATTACTTCTTTCATAAACAAACCAACATTAATAAACAGCAGCAGGCTACTTTTATCCGAGTGGGAATCAAGAATTAAATATTTACCATCAGGTAATATTCTACAGGCACGTATATCAAAAGGCTTCATATCTTGTGGAATTGTCAGCTGTCTTAACATTGATGGCTTAATTTGTTCAATTGTAGGAATAGTTGGAACTAAGTTCTGTGCTTGATCTTTTCTTCCAGCTTTTAATTGAGGAGTAAATGAGCGGGTATTGATATTAATGTCTCCAAATGATTTGACATCTTTTAAAATTGATTTAAGTTCAGATGAGATGGTAAGTTCTAGGTTAATTTCATCCAATTGGCCTCCACTTTTTAAATCATCAATGTATTGTGCTGCTTGAGATGTAGTTTTCTCAATTTCTCTCAGACCAACATACATTTGTAGCTCAGTTGCATATTGTGTCATTTTTTGAAAACTCACTTTGCAGTTGACTTATCTGATTGGCTTGTTTTTTTAGTTGTTGTAGTAAAGTGTTCATCTTAGATTTCAGCTTTGATTGCTTTGAATCTAGATCATCAAGATATTCTTGTTCTAATTTGTTTAAGAAATCATCTATCGACTTCCTCATAGATCGAATTTGTTCAGCGGCTTTTGTTTTCTGACTTTCACTTGTATTAATCCTACTGTTTAAATATTTTATAATCTCCTCTAAGTTTTCTTTTACATCCTTCAAATCTTTTTCAAAAAGTTGAACAGAGGCAGATGATTTTACTTGCTTTAGGATATCTGACAGTGGTATCATTTCTTGACATTTTTTGTGTTTATCGGTGATGCACAAGACACAGCAGGGACAGGCATGGAAAGAACAGTACAGTTCATACTTCTTCTTGTGATCTCTGCACTGGCTACTAATTTCTTGCATAAATTTGGGTAAATTGTGGTAGTCTTTTGAAGACATTGTATTATGGACTTTAGACATTCTTAACTTCTTGTGATGTTTTTCACAATCCGTACAAAGGAACACCTCACATTCTATACACCACGTGACAGCTTCTGTAGATGTTCCTTCATCAGTACAGAGGGTACAGCAGTCCGTATCTAATGAGGCCATATTCTCTCTTTATTTCTGAAATTTAGTGTAGAAAAAAATGAGTGTTTTTGAAAAATTTAGATAATCACAGCAACTATTCAACAAGAAACATCTTGACCAAGAGAGAAAACAAAATAAAAAGTGGTAACATAATATATAACAATTTATAATCATGACTTTTAGAATGTTAGGCTTGAAGACCCTTTGGTGGCCTTCGGCTGTTATCTGCTCTTTGGTTGGGTTGTTGTCTCTTTGACATATTCCCCATTTCCATTCTCAATTTTATTGTAATGGCTATATTCAGATTGATGATTATACATCCATCCGTAAGTCCGTCCGTCCCTCCCATGAATATTTTTGTCGCATCTTTCTTAGGAATTACATCATAAGGATTTCTGAAATTTGGTTTCAGGGTTAATATAAGTCAGCTATACCGTGTGATGCGTTTTCAGATTCATCACTCAACAACTTCCTGATTACCGAACACTTGTATCATTTTACACATGATAGCCAAGTTGAAAATTTTCGTCACATTTTTATACGACCGCAAAAATTAAAAATTTTTTGGTCGTATATTGGTATGACGTTGGCGTCGTCGTCGTCGTCTTCTGGCGTCGTCCGGCGTCGTCGAAGACACATTGGTTTTCGCACTCTAACTTTAGTTTAAGTGAATGGATCTCCATGAAATTTTACCATAAGGTTCAATACCACGAAAGGAAGGTTGGGATTGATTTTGGGGGTTATGGTACCAACAGTTAAGGAATTAGGGGCCAAAAAGGGGCCAAAAATAAGCATTTTTGTAACTTCCAGACAATAACTTGTGTGTAAGTGTATGGATCTCTCTGACATTGTACCACAAGGTTCCATATCACAAAGGAAAGGCTGTAATTGATTTTGGGGGTAATTGCCTCAAAATTTTAGGAATTAGGGGCCAAAAAAGGGGCAAAAAACAAGCATTTTTTTAGTTTCATGACAATAACTTGTGTGTAAGTGTTTGGATATTTATGAAATTGTACTACAAGGTTCCATATCACAAAGGGAAAGCTGGAATTGAGTTTGGGGGTAATTGCCCGAAACGTTTAGGAATTGGGGGCCAAAAAAGGGCCAAAAATAAGCATTTTTCTAGTTTCCAGACAATAACTTGTGTTCAAGTGTATGGATCTCTCTGAAATTGTACTGCAAGGTACCATACCACAAAGGGAAGGCTGGGATTGAGTTTGGGGGTGATGAATCATAAGGGGGTTCAAAAAAGTTGGGGGGGGATTTTTTTTCTTTCTTTTTTTTTCTTTTTTTCCTTTTTTTTTTCTTTTAAAATTTTCCATTTTAAGTTGGTTATTTCTGATTAATATATAAAAGCAAATAATAATGATATGGTAGGAGATACACACCAAACAGGATGTGTAAATTATTATCTAATAAGTATTGTGCAATAGCAAGAAATTTTCAATTGCACAAGTATTGCACAATAGCAAGAAATCTTCAATTGCACAGTATTGCGCAATAGCAAGAAATCTTCAATTGCACAGTATTGCGCAATAGCAAGAAATATCCAATAGCACAATATTGCGCAATAGCAAGAAATTGTCAATTGTACAGTATTGCGCAATAGCAAGAAATATTTAATTGCACAGTATTGTGCAAAAGAAGATACTTCGTATAAATTGCTTATTTTTTTATCAATTTCAATGGGGTTTTATTCTTGAATTCTTGGGGTTCTTTAATATGCTGAATCTAACCGTGTATTATGTTTTTGGATTTTGGGCCCCGTTTTTAAATTGGTCCACATTGAGGTCCAAAGGGTCCAAAATTTAACTTTGTTTGATTTCATCAAAAATTGAATTATTGGGGTTCTTTGATATGCCGAATCTAACCGTGTATTTAGATTCTTAATTTTTGGTTCCGTTTTCAAATTGGTCTACATTAAGGTCCAAAGGGTCCAAAATTAAACTTAGTTTGATTTTAACAAAAATTGAATTTTTAGGGTTCTTTGATATGCTGAATCTAAACATTTATTTAGATTTTTGATTATGGGCCCAGTTTTCAAGTTGGTCCAAATCGGGGTCCAAAATTAAACTTTGTTTGATTTCAACAAAAATTGAATATATGGGGTTCTTTGATATGCTGAATCTAACCATGTATTTAGATTTTTGATTTTTGGGCCCTGTTATCAACTTTGTCCACATTGAGGTCAAAAGGGTCCAAAATTTAACTTTGTTTGATTTCATCAAAAATTGAATTATTGGGGTTCTTTGATATGCCGAATCTAACCGTGTATTTAGATTCTTAATTTTTGGTTCCGTTTTCAAATTGGTCTACATTAAGGTCCAAAGGGTCCAAAATTAAACTTAGTTTGATTTTAACAAAAATTGAATTTTTAGGGTTCTTTGATATGCTGAATCTAAACATGTATTTAGATTTTTGATTATGGGCCCAGTTTTCAAGTTGGTCCAAATCGGGGTCTAAAATTAAACTTTGTTTGATTTCAACAAAAATTGAATATATGGGGTTCTTTGATATGCTGAATCTAACCATGTATTTAGATTTTTGATTTTTGGGCCCTGTTATCAACTTTGTCCACATTGAGGTCAAAAGGGTCCAAAATTTAACTTTGTTTGATTTCATCAAAAATTGAATTATTGGGGTTCTTTGATATGCAGAATCTAACCGTGTATTTAGATTCTTAATTTTTGGTTCCGTTTTCAAATTGGTCTACATTAAGGTCCAAAGGGTCCAAAATTAAACTTAGTTTGATTTTAACAAAAATTGAATTTTTAGGGTTCTTTGATATGCTGAATCTAAACATGTATTTAGATTTTTGATTATGGGCCCAGTTTTCAAGTTGGTCCAAATCGGGGTCCAAAATTAAACTTTGTTTGATTTCATCAAAAATCGAATTCTTGGGGTTCTTTGATATGCTGAATCTAACCATGTATTTAGATTTTGGATATTGGACCATAATAGGTGAATGTCCAATTTAAAATTTTTAAGTTCTTAGACCACATTCATTCTGTGTCAGAAACCTATGCTGTGTCAAATATTTAATCACAATCCAAATTCAGAGCTGTATCAAGCTTGAATGTTGTGTCCATACTTGCCCCAACTGTTCAGGGTTCGACCTCTGCGGTCGTATCAAGCTGCGCCCTGCGGAGCATTTTATTCTCAGAAACTACAATACAAGGATTTCTGAAATTTGGTTTCAGGGTTTATATCAGTCAGCTATACCGTGTGATGCGTTTCAGGGTTTATCATTAGTGAGCAGTAGCTCACAGATTCACTTGTTTTGACTGCTTTCCAACTGTATTCATACCAGTTGGTAAAATTCTCAAGTATTATCTCAATATGATCAACTCTGAGAACCAGTAGGTGAACAAAACAAAATATCTATAGATATTAAGTATCTCCCCAAGAGAGGTGTGGTTTGTCATTTGACTATATTTGCATAGTATAACTGTAATAGAGGTATCTTTTACACAAGTGATTTTTTTAGGGGAGATAACATTAAATTGATATTTTTTTTTTTAACATTTTTTCACTTTTTCTGTTCAGGATTTATGGTCCTTGATTAATTGGGAAATGGCCCTTTATGTTGTTTTGTGTGCAGTAACTTATGAACTTTTAAGCAAATGATTTTCCATTTTAATGTGTTGCTACTAATGAAAAGATTGGTAAAGGTTAGATGTTAAGGATTTTGGCTTTTGCCATTTAGGAGTTATGGCCCTTGATTAATTGAAATAATTAATAGATTAGAGCTCAGCCTGATACGACCGTATATTATAGAGCCGCAATAATTCAGTTTTTGATGAAATGAAACAAAGTTTAATTTTGGACCCTTTGGACCTCAATGTAGACCAATTTAAAATGGGGCCCAATATCCAAAATAGTAATACAAGGTTAGAACCCCCAAAAATTAAAGACTCCAAATTAATCCCATTGAAATTGGTTAACTGATTTGTATCTATGTTCAATTGAAGATTTCTTGCTGTAATGCGCAATACTGTGCTATTACGCAATACTTAGTTAATCTGTTTATATATAAAATTTAAATCTGTTTATATATAATAATTTACACACCCTGTTTGATGTGTATCTCCTGCCATAACTGTATGTTTTGCTTATATATATAAATCAGAAATAATCAATGTAAAAATGGAAAAATTTTGGGAAAAAGAGAACAAAATCCCCCCAAAAAATTTGTCCCCCCCAAAAAAATTATTTTTTTTAATTATCTTGAAGAAAAAATAGAATGAACCCCCCAAATATATTGAAAAAAAAATCCCCCCCCAAAAATTTTTCCAAAATTTGAAATTTCAAGAATTTTGAAGAAAAAAATAGCCCCCCCAAAAAAAAATGAAAAAAAATCCTCCCCCCCAAATTTTTGTTTTGAAATTTTGAAGAGTATTTTCTTTTCGGGAAAAATGGACAATTTCAGAGAGTTCGGTAAACTTTAACACAAGTTATTGTCTGGAAACTAGAAAAATGCTTGTTTTTTGCCCCTTTTTTGCCCTTAATTGTTTAACCTTTTGGGCAATTACCCCCAAACTCAATCCAAGCCTTCCCTTTATGGTATGGAACCTTATAGTACAATTTCAGAGAGATCCATACACTTACACACAGGTTATTGTCCAGAAAGTACAAAAATTCTTGTTTTTTGCCCCTTTTTGGCCCCTAATTCCTAAACTGTTGGTACCATAACCCCCAAAATCTATCCCAACCTTCCTTTTGTGGTATTGAACCTTCTGGTAAAATTTCATAGATATCCATTTCCTTAAACTAAAGTTATTTTCCAGAAACTAAATGTGTCTTCGGACAACGACAACATGATAGCATTATTTGAACGCAAATGTTTTGCGGTCGTATAAAAACGCAATATATGTCGTTTCTATGCAATTAGTAATAAATATATAAGAACTATTGATCAAATGATTTTGATTTTTACTAATGAAAAATGGAGGTCAAGTTCGATATTGAAAAAAATTCACACTCTTGCTGTTAGGGAGTTATGACCCTCAACTGCTTTAGAATAATTGTAATAACAAGAGGCTGTTAAATTGATAGAAAACCAGTTTTTTTTATTACACTAATTACTGCCATTATTATATAGCAATAAAGGGCCATTACTCCATGACAGCAAAAGTGAAAATGATTATTATCAAACTTGAGAATAATTTCACTATTTTTGCAATATCAGGTGCCAGATAATATTGGTTCTTATCACACCTCTTCTTTTAAAGGAAGTAACATACATGATTTATTGCCATAGAATTGATTTACCCATAATTATTATGAAAGTACATTTACAAATTGTTTTGAGAAAAATTGTTGAATGCAACTTACTATACTGGGTAATTATTTTCTTTAAAGAAGGTTTAACACAAATCAACTTTTGTTATAAATTCCACCATTAGTTTTTTTTCATTACTCATCTGGACTTGATTTAGAGATTGATATATTAGATTACAGACATTTGCTTTTCTGTGTTTATGATCATATGTTGTCCTGCAGATGTTAGTGTTTGTGTTGTTGGATTACTGTCTCATTATTTTATACCCTTAATCTCAAAAACACATTCTTACCCTTTATATTGTGATTGCTGGTGCTCTAGAAAAGAAATTTCTACAGGGAAGTAAAATGTCCAATAACTGGTACACGTACTTACCTAGCTAGGATATAGGTAAATTAATGATACACATTTGAATGGTCGGATATATATTTTCTAATTTAAAATATTTTAGATGGCTTTCAATTTAAAGTTTTTTTTGTGATTGAATTGTTGTGATACATGTATTATGCAAGTGTCTATTGACAGAGTCATTTAAAACTGCAGATGCATACAGAAAAAATATAAAGTTGATTTTTACTTAAAATTTTATTTGAAAAATTCTTGGTTTATTGATATTGACTTATATGTAGGTCAGTTTTCCTTCAATTTATTGTAGTTTTCAATATTAAACTGCCATATATTTAAATGATTCAATTTATATATCTTTCTATGCGCAGTTTATTTCTTTTATTAATTACAATATATATATTTATCATAACTCAGTTATCATCTTCTATATAAAATAAGTACACAATATTTTGACAATTTTTATACGGCCGCAAACATTTTTTTGGGATCGTATGATGTCGTCGTCGTCTGCGTTGTCGTCCGAAGACACATTGGTTTCTGGACAATAACTTAAGTTAAAGTCAATGGATCTCTATGAAATTTTTTAAGAAGGTTCAATACCACAAAAGGAAGGTTGGGATTGATTTTGGGGATGATCTCCCAACCGTTTAGGAATTAGGGGCCCAAAAGTGGCCCAAAACAAGCAGTTTTCTAGTTTCAGGATAATAACTTGTATATAAGTATTTTGATTGCTCTGAAATTGCAAGACAATGTTTAATACCACAAATAGAAGGTTGGGATTGATTTTAGGGGTTATGGGGCCAACAGTTTAGGAATTAAGGGCCAAAAAGGGGCCAAAAACAAGCATTTTTCTAGTTTCCAGACAATTACTTGTGTTTAAGTGTATGGATCTCTCTGAAATTGTACTACAAGGTTCCATACTACAAAGGAAAGGCTGGGATCGAGTTTTGGGGTTATTGCTCCAAGGGGGTTTCAAAAAGTTGGGGGGGGGGGGGGGTTCCAATTTTTTTAGAGGATTCATATTTTTTTTTCAAAATTTTTCAAATTTTGAATTTTTGAAAAGTTTCAAGAAGAAATCTTCAATTGCACATATTGCGCAATAGATTTGTAAGATCTATGACCACATTTATTTTGTGTCAGAAATCTATATTATGTCAAAAATTTGATCACAATCCAAATTCAGACAGTATCAAGCTTGAATATTGTGTCCAAATTTGTACCAACTGTTCAGGGTTCGACCTCTGCGGTCTTATCAGGCTGCGCTAAGCGAAGCATTTTATTCAAATTGCAAGGGTTGAACTATTTGACTCGTCAATAGTTTCCAACTATTGAACCTCGATGAAACTATTTGACTGCAAGCGTCATTATATTTCGCGGAATTTCAAATGCAGCTACGGGATTGGAGGATGTTGAAAATACCGCGGGGGTTACATGTACAACGGCGCGTTTTACCTATTGTATCTAGGGATGACGTCAGTGAGGGACGTAGCCTTAGCATTTCAGAATATTTATGAAGTAAATGTTAAACAGTATGGTTGGGTTTCTGCTTTTCATATTACGATAGTTGATTTATCCGCGCCATTTATTGTCTGCTGTCTCTTTCGGTATAATAAAACACTTACTGACTGGATATTTGTGGAATAGTAAGTTTATTGTCCCCTCGGATACAACTATTGACCTCGGCTACGCCTCAGGGCAATAGTTGCTCCTCGGGGGACAATAAACTTACTATTCCATTCATACCCAGTCAATAAGTATACAATATATATATAGGTATCTTTCAGCTCTCAACTCAAAAGTTTCTTTTTCATTTATTCATTCTTTCTGATCTCTTACTTATTTAGCTGACCAGATTTTCTATAATTGCCATCTGCCTCCATGATCTAGTGCTAGCGTGCTTACCTCCGTAATAATGCTTGCACCATTTGACAGCTTCTTAAGATTTACTATCAGCATGACATTTTGTACAAATGAGAGTAATTGCTGAAGCCATTTTTCTACTTTATTTCTAAAAGTCAATACATTTGAAATAGGTTTTTTTTTTTAATTTGGAGGCGGGGCCTCTAGGGCACACCATGCCAGGTGTGAATGCCATTTCGAATGGATGTTAGATAGAAGGTCAAGTTTAATACACAAAGTTAAAACATATATTTAAGCTGGGACATAATAGTCTCAAGAGATTTAAGGTGGTGGCAAATACAAATAGATCGCCGTGGAATATTGAATTATATTGTGGGTTAGGTCCGTTGGAACTAAATCATGATATTGAACATGTATTTCACACATGTAGGATGAATAAATTTGATGTTATAAAAATGATAAATAATGTTAATATTAAATCTAAAGGAATAGTTATTAAAATCAAAATGATTTTTTTTGTATTTGATCACTTTAAAATCTAAGAAACAAACTTGGGGAAGCTAATAATCAAGTGTTATAATAAAAGATTATAACCACTTATCATTTGACTCATCAGAAAGAAAAAGAAAAACATAATTTTATAAAATTGGTTTATCTATTAAAAGCGCTTTTGATTTTCCTCAGACGGTTAAAAAATGTACGGGAACACTCATATCTAAATATTTGAAAGCTAGGGATGTGCTAATTTTATCAATATCGGCAACCATCTAAGATCAACTTTGTCTATGTACAATGGAACCAAGAAAATACATATATGTATAAAGCCTCGTTCTCATGATGAAAATGTACACTAGAAAGTAAATCTAAACAAACATACACAAAAATCATTCAACACAGAAATAAGTTTTAAATAATAAACGGGTGCTCTTTTGGTAGAAGTTCGGGGCTGTATCTATCAAGTCTTTATGCTCCTAACAATCTTTCAATAGAAGCGAGTTAGTAAAGTTAAATTCATAAATTGTCCCTACAATCAAACAATTTATACCCCCCCCCCCCCCACCCCCCTTCAAAAAAAAATAAAAGGAGATGAATTGTAAGTCACATCAAATTCAAATATTTAAATATTTTATTGTCTTTAATCAAAGATATACAATACATCATTACATGTCTCTGCATTAACCTATAAAAATGACAGGAAATTAAACTTGAAATAGAGTTATGGTGTGTACAATGCAACTGCAGCACATACACATTTTCTAGGAAGTTGAATAACCCCTACTAATCACAGCTTACAAGCACATTTTTTTAGCTCACCTGGCCCAAAGGGCCATGTGAGCTTATGCCATCACATGGCGTCCGTCTGTCGTCGTCGCTGTCGTCGTAAATCTTCTCCTCTGAAACTACTGGGCCAAATAACTTCAAACTTTAACTGAATGTTTCTTATAGGGTATCTAGTTTATAAATTGTATTCGAAGTTTTGATCCATCAACAAACATGGCCACCATGGCTAAAAATAGAACATAGGGGTCAAATGCAGTTTTTGGCTTATATCTCAAAAACTAAAGCATTTAGAGCAAATCTGACAGGGGTAAAAATGGTGCAGATCTATCAGTCCTGAAATTTTCAAAAGAACCGAACAACCCATTGTTGGGTTGCTGCCACTAAATTGGTAATTTTTAGGAAATTTTGCAGTTTTTGGTTATTATCTTGAATATTATTGAAGATAAAGATAATAATAATAATAATAATTCTTTATTTAAAGAGGGTTACATAGTTAGCTATAACACTAATCTTCCCTGAGGCCCTCGTGAAATGCATTGAAATATAACAAACAAACAATAACAAAATAATCAAACAAACACACACAAATCAAATAAGAAATTGTTATAAAATATACAATTTTCAAAACATGTAAAAAATGATGAATTCATATAATATTGGCATCATTCAAATTACCTCAACCATATTTAAAGTTTAAGTAAGTGTGTGAAAATTATTATGCATATAAAATTACACAGCTTCTTAATGTTCCAACAAGTAATTAATTTTTTAAATCTTTTTTGAATGAGCTTGTACTTGAGGTTGATTTTTTCAGGGATATTGGTAAGTTATTCCATAAAATAGATCCTGAATATATAAAAGATTTCTTATACAGCTCTGTTTTGGCTTTTGGGACTTGCAATTTTTTTGCAAGACGTATTCCTCAAACAATATTGGTTTATTTCTGGCATTTCTTTAAATTTATCAGTTAATATACAGGGGCTTCATTCTTAATGCAGTTCTGCATCAAAACAGATTTATGGTATGAGATTCTGTTCTCTACTGTCATCCTCCCAAGCTGTTTAAACAGAGGTGCTGATGATGAAAGTGGATCAGCATCTAAAATTAGTCTTGCAGCCCTTTTCTGCAATTTTATTATTCTTACTAGCTCATTTTTAGCACAAGTTACCACTCCAAATAATACAACAATAATCTATCAGTGGGAGAATATAACCATTATAAAATAATTTTCTTGAATCAATATTTAGAAATTTCTTGATCTTAGAGAGTAAATGAAGTCTAGATGATATTGATGAACATAAGAAATTAACCTGGCCTGTCCATGACAGATTAAAGTCAATTCTAACACCTAAAAGTTTTTCAATTGATGATATTTGAAGAATATTATTCTCAATAGTTAGAACTGGTTCTGCTTGATTTAAACACAGCCTTTGTCTTGTACCTATGACCATACATTTAGTTTTATCCGAATTTATGAACATGTTATTTTCATGACACCATTTTTCAACACATTGGAGATCATCTTGTACTTTTAATTGCATAGGAGCAATACTCTTTCCTGATGTATGCATAGTTGTGTCATCAGCATACAAGTCTGTATGGCTGTTTTTGATGTGTAATGGGAGGTTAATTATGTACAAAACAAACAAAATGGGACCAAGTATTGAGCCCTGTGGAACACCGAAATTTATAAATTTTTTATCAGAATACTGATTACTTATAGGTTGCAATTCTGTAAATATAGACACTGCAATTTCCCATAGGAACTCCCTTTGCGGCTAAAACTGTGACACTTTTACTATGAAGTTTCGTGAAAAATAATATCCCAGAACGGAAAGTTTATATGCACTACTATTTTATTCAAAGGTCAAA